TTCATGAACAAAGGTACGACGACTTGTGGTATACAAGTTAAAACGTATATGTTGAAAAAAGATTAAAGACTTAAAGTATCCAATGGTAACTCTGGTTACAAGTATTGTTAATAATAAATGTCTAAGACCCAAGGGCCAAATTTTAAATCGTGTATAAAAACCAGTGAACAGAAAAGTAAAAACTCTACTATATACTACAGACAACTAGGAAATGTTATAAATTTTTGATAATTTTTTGATAAGTATAAAATTAGTTCAAATTACAAATACTTTGAAGCGGTCGTGCGTGTCTTATTACTAAGAATATTTGTGTTATATAAATTTCATTTTATAAATGAAGAGTGAATGTGTCAAACGTTCTATGTGCCAAAAAAATATTTGTTCAGAAAACACAAAAAACATCACAAATTAAAAATTTTCTTATAATTTTGTATAAAAATATATGTTATGCTATATTTACACTATATTAATAGCCTCGTAAATTTCTATTATTTTATTTTGTCATTTCATATTAGTATAAATTAAACATTTGCTAATGACAGTTCCAAGTGCCAAGTATTATAATATTAAAGTTCCAAGTTTCAAATAATGTGATAATATTATCGTTCCAAGTACCAATATTTTATTATAGATAACAGAAAATCATTCTTTATTTTATTAAGACTTCATATATATTTTTATAAAATATGTAAAAAAATCAACACTTTTTTTGAGTATCACAAATTGAAAAATAAATGTACAAACTTAAATAAAAAATACTCTTAAACTAACATGACATTATCAGTAAATCTCAAAACGTAAAATAAAATTTTTTCTTCATATAAAAATGTAACAAGAAAAGAAAACAGTAGCTTTCTTGAGTATCACAAATTGAAAAATAAATTAACAAACCTAATAATAATTTAAAAAAAAATCTAGATTAAACATAATTAGAACATAGCAACATCATAATAAATAGCAAAAAAAATTAATTCATGACGTTATATTTTTATAGAAGTTTCTGTGCTTATCAGGTAAAAAAGGAATCATGGCCAACAAATCTTTTTTCTTCTCTGACGACAATGTGGGTTTCGGTATAGGTATAAATGTCTGATTTTTAAGTTGGTCTATAGTAGCATTTCTTTTAAAAACGTTAAAATCTTTCCAAAGTTCTTCATCTGAAAATGTTTTTTTATAATAGATTTTTTTGGGAGTTAAAAATGAAACTTTAATCATCGAACATTGGAAACTTGGTTGTGTTAAAAAAATTGTTAGCAATGTCTTTAAATGAAAAAAAGTTGTTTTCATCCATCGGAATAACTCGAAATGGATTTATCAACTTCGCTGCTCTAACCATTTCTTGTAAATCAGAAGGAGTGAAATTTTGAAAAACTCTACGTCTCTTTTCGATAATAGCGAAATCACGATCACAAGCCAAGAGAGAGTGGCCACTTATCAAAAATTTTTGTATAATCTCATCAAATATCCCCATATTTATTAAATATAACATCAAAACTACTAACGTTTTATTTTTATTTTGGCCAGCACAGTTGTCTGACCATATAATTAGTTTTTTGCGATTTATCGTATTTTCGTTTTTGTTAATAACTTGAAAAAGAAAAGAAGCGATTTCTGAGCTTCCACGAGAAGCAATACTTTCATCCCACATATACATAAAGGCTGTATTGCTGTCACCGAGATGTATTCCAAAGTTATAACAACTAAGTTGACGCTTTCCTGAATTGTATTATTGCTTTTCCTGGTCGCATACGATTTTCCACTAATTCTTTTTTTAGTCTGATCATTTCTTCTTTTTTTACCACTTCGTAAAATATGTATACTTTCAGTATCCATAATAACACAATTAAACAAATGAAAAAGAAAACTTAACGAATACAACAACACCAGTATTAGTTATTTTGAAATATAACGAACTATATTATAATATTGTAATCGTCAAACTATTATATTCGCCCAAGGCACTTAGAACGTACAGGTAACAAAGGGCATGTCTCACAGAACAAATACAATCTATGAACGCAATTTTGTACAAGTAAAAAATTTAATTGACACTTGAAACACATACAAGATTGTGACCTTTGGCTCATAGAACATAAATCAGAAATAAAACAATTTTTCAATTTTTTGGCACATAGAACGTTTGACACATTCACTCTTCAAATGATTAAAATATCCTTATTATGTATATTCTACTTTTTTTTGTTAAAAAAAAAGTAACTATTTAATACTGTTTAACTGCTTATTATCCTAATTACAATGAAAAAAAATTATATTAATTCAACTTTGACATTAATTGACAAAAAAAATGTAATTCGTTAGGTACACACTTTTTTCCTAGATAAAATGAAATGAAATTAAAGAAATTCTCCTTAAAAAATTATATAACATAAGTTGTTATTATATTTTTTAGAATTTGTTCAATTTTCATACAGAAATAAATGATAAAGCCTAAGTGTCTATAATATTTCTAGTCACAATTTCCGTTAAAAATGGAAAATTAAACTAAAAATTTTGCAATTAATTTGATCTACAAAGAAAGATAATTGTAAGCATTAAGTTTTTTTTGTGTATTTATAAATATATTTTTTTAAGGCAATATATATTTTTCTAAGCTTCAATATAAATTTTAATTCATATAATACTTGATAATTCTACTTACAATTCCACGTGTACAATAGTTGTAGTATGCATAAAAAAATAAGCCACATTATTTTTTCAGTTTTGACTTATGCAATAGTCTCGATCAAAAGGAGTAACCCTGCAAAAAAATAAAAAGTATTAAGTTTTTTTTTATATTACCTACATTTTTATGCAATATAAAATGATTCTATTGTTTTTGTTTGTAAAGCATTATCATAGTAGTAATTATGATAAAATGATTTTTTTTTTATTGCTATGTACAAACTTAATATACGATTATTCCGCACTTCTTGGTCCGAATTTGCTCAACGAAAAGATCACAAAACGTATCTAGTTGAACCTATCAACGCCATAATTTTGAAAAATTCCCCTTATTCTCATTATAAAATGTCTTAAGAAATTACAGCTATAAAAGTAACAGTTGTTTTAAAACGATCGATGTTAATACTTTTAGAACTCACTTTATGTTGAAATAAGTTTTTGAAAATTAGCTGGATTACTGCGCAATTTTTATTTAAATATTAACATACTCGTTAAGCAATATTTTTTTTTACCTAAAATTAATTACGTTAAGTAGTTTCAGTTACTGTTTATAGATGTTTGATGATAGCTAAACAATACTTATCTTTGCGACAAACGCAATAATATTAATGGAAAGCAAATTGATGTATTATTTCCAAAACGCAAGCAAAGCTATGAGCACAAGTCACGTACCGTCACATTAATAAACTTCTCTCTAATGATAAATTACACAATAGTCCTATGGATTACTATAGTCTCGTACAACAATAATAACAATACCACTAACTGTATGCTTTGTAAAATCCTTTAGCTAAAAGGACAGACAGACGATCAATTTTAGAATGTATGTGCTTTTTTATTTATCTTGCTAATAAAACAGTAAATGGTTTACTAAACTATAAAACTATCGAACAAAATCATTTTTATTTTGCTATTTACAAGAAAACAAACAGGAATTCATACCGCCTTTCTTTTTTAATGCGCAACTGAATAGCTATTACCCACTGTGCAATATTAAGTAGTTTCAAGTTAAATTGTATTTTTTGTTGCAATTATGTCAAAACAACGTTTAGGCGACGCTTAATAGTCGACATAAATAAAGCGATATTTTCAACACATATTGAACATCTATTAATGTTAATTAATGTGCAATATACACTAATGTAACATTGCGATCAGATTTTAAAAACATACCGCGATAATAATGGAGACTGTTTATGTAATGAAATAGTGATTTTAATGGTTAAACTAGTTTAAAAAAAAATACATGAATATCTCTCATCATAAGGGGTACATTGTTTTAACTCGAATCTATCAATTCCTCTAAACTACTGCTTTGTACTATTAACTTACGAAGATATCGTGATTTAAAGTTGTTGAAAAGATACTTTAAATGATCAAAAATATAGTTGAAGCTATCAACATCATAATTTTGAAAACTATCCCTTAATTTCCGTAATAAACAGAAATATGTCAAACAATTTTTATAAAAAATTTTTAACTGTTATAAAACAGTCGATGTTGTTAATTTTAAAACTTACCTTATATTGAAATAACTTAAATAGCGGATAAAACTAGACAGATAATTGGGTATTTTTTTATTGACAGTGCTTTATATATTTACCTTGCCAACAACATAATTTTTAAAAATCCAAGTTTTTGGAAGGCTTAAAATCACATCAAATATTTTTCATTTAAATCTTTCATAATGTCTTAAAAAGCTGAACTTCTGTAAACCTACATAAAATTAATGCTAAAACAATGCAGTGACGCTGATCACTCAATTCGACTAGGGCAGCAATTCTAAAAATAGCAAATGGTTGATTGATGTTCAACATGCAAAACAACCATTATAAATAATTAAAATATTAATGATTGTGTACTAAAGTGTTCATAAATTTGAAGATTTTATTATTTATTTAAATTTGAAAAATATAGTTGCTTAAAATGTATAACCTTAATAATAATTCCTGTACAAAAGAATTTATCAAAATAGATACAAATATTTACTAGGTATATTAAAATTAAAATCGCGTTGTTATTTATTTGAAGTTATGATATCCGAATATGCAAACTATTTGTATAAACTGTAGTAAAAAAAAAAAAAAGGTAAACTAAACTTTGTAAAATATATTAAACCCAATTCGATACATTCTAAAAATTTTCTTAAATTACCAGAAAAAGTCATCCAACATTAAAGAATCTTGTTTGACAAGGATTATGATCCTATCAATTTTTTCCAGTTAAAAGATTATTAAAAAAAACAAAATAAAGAGTTATGTAATTCTTAAGGGATAGATAGCAAATGTAGAATTCAAAACGTTTTTTCCCTTGATTTTTAAGAGTATTAAATCTCAAAATCATACAATTTTCTATGAAAATATTTGATTTTAAAGCGTTTTGCATAGCAACGTAAATATCATTCAAAACTAAATAAATTGAACATTTTCTATTTTATTATACGTTTAATAAAAAGAAAACTTTCCCATGATTTGTCTTCTATGAGAGGCCTCTAAAGACGACAATCATGTAATTTTTGATAGATATGATTAATTTCACATAGAAGAATTTTACGGTAGTAATTTTAATCACTATCAGATATCAATAAATACTAATCCAATAAAAATGTGTCATCTCCATTATATGGGAGTCAACTATATTTAATTTATTTTATTTTTATTGTAAGAAGTTATTTTAATCTTTAATAAATAATTTTATAAGTTTTTTTTTTTGACGAAATTATAACAACATTTTTGAAGGTTCTAATTTAATATCTGTTCTCCTTAAAAAAAATGCTGTATAAATTTACATGCAATTTTCACCATTTGGGCGGGAACTATAATAGAATTAGGGGGCTAAACCCTTTCTAAAACCCCCAGAGTGTACCAATGGCTTAAAACAGATTTTTTTATCAAACAATTATTTTTAGTTCATAAATACATATATATTCACGATTTTTATATCTAGGACTTCTCAAGAAGTTTACAATTTCGTTAAAAAGCCTTACCAAAATACAATTAGATTCTTCGAGTTACTTTTTATAGTCTATTTTCAACAGATAACAAAACATATGATTCAATAACTAATGGTATTATTTTAAACGATTCGTAGTGTCATAGTGAACACCTACAATCAAATTATTTGATGGCTTTAAGAAGTAACGGAAATTTAAATCGAACAACCAGTAATTTAAATTTTTTTTATTAAGTTAACCTGACAAACATTTTATGAATTATAAAACATTCAAAAGACCTTTACTAGTAACGATAATAAAACTTAATATTTTGACAATTTTGTGTTGTATTGAATGAAAAGTTCAAAGATATTTTTTGATCAACACTAAAAGTTACAAATAGAATTTATACATTAATGTTTGAATGCAAAACACAATACATGTCATATTTCGAGCCTATTGTTATGAAAGATAATAAGAAATGTTAATAAATTTTTATTTTAATGTAAAACTGTTTTTTCAGTTGAATCTACTTCTTAATATTTCAAGTATTATATTACTATAACTCTATATTTTGTTCGAAGCCGATTTAATTCACGTAATGTTATCCTACCTGAATATTACAAGGTAAAGTAATTTCAACTAATGGATTGTACTTTTCACGGCACGGAAAAAATGTTAACTTAAGTAAAATTATTTCTAGTAAGACTAACCCTCAGGCAATTTGGTTGTCCATTTAAAACGTATAATCATTTTTCCTTCGAATTAGAACAATAAATGTTACCGAGCCCTTTTACTTGGGCAGCTGGTAAAAAACGAAAACGTTCACAACGAAATAAATTCGATAAAGACAACCCGCGAATTTGTCGGCACGACGTTTGACATGCACACGCGTCGATATCCGGTTGGCGTAACAGACTGGAGAATCCGGTAAAAAAGTCGAACACATGGCTCCTTAAGCCGGCAACCAAACAGACATGCGCCGTCGACGGACACATGCAAACAGTCACGCACAATATTATTATTCGATCACTCGGTCGTGTTTACTCTAGTGGACCAGCCGTACGTGTCTTCCACGACTCCTAAAGGCCACTTAAGTACTAGTCCGTCAAAACAACAATAACGCCGAGTGATTTCACAGTAAAAAACAAGCCCGACTAGAAATAACAATATAAAAATAAAGGTTTTCTGTAATTGAAAATATTCAAATGCGGAAACCTTTGCCGCTGTCGTGCTATTCACAAAACTCTCAATTTAATGCGCAAGAGGTGTGACTTTGTTAATAAAAGAAGACCATAACGTTAACCGCCGCCGCCATCGTCTTCATTTATTTTTATCATTCTTTCATTTTGTTAAATAGAGAACGTCTCTAGGGAGTTGAGCGTTTTATTTTAAATTAGAACAATTTTCAAGTCTTTTGACGATGATGCAACTACTGGTTTTATAACCATTAAAAGTTCAAAAAGAAAATTAATTTGAATAATTTTTTTTTTTTTGTTAAGTTCCTGTAGTAATCCCGTAGTCAGTTGAGCAACTGACAATAATGGACTAAAATATCAATATTGTTTAACGGCGAAAAACTTAAAATAAAATCTGGTTACTTTAAACACTCATTATATTTTATCTATTGATAAAAACGGAAATTGTATAGCCTCTTTTACTTATACTTAGCTGCTGGCGTTATTATAATTTGATTCTAATAGTTTTGCCGAGATTTACTTGAATATCAATTATTTTAGCTTCGGTGCGGATATTAAAAGGTATAAAATAACACCCAGATAGCAATTTTAAAAAATAACGTTATCAGGGCGACAATAACACATTCTCATTTATCTTATTTTTATAATATAAAAACAGATGATTAACATTTCTCAACTGTTGTTAACATAATTCAATATTTTGTTTTATTTATCCCTAAAAATGGGTCTATTATAATAACATAAATGATGATTTTTTAAATCTATATTAATATCTACTTTATAAGTATCGCTTTATTGTTTTTTCTGAATAAAAAAATGTATAACTATTATTCAAAGCAAATTTTTTGTCTATGTTTGAAATAAATTAAAAATTTTAATGAGTACTTAGCTCTGTCGAGAACGTGTTGTGTATCAGTGTGTAAGAACTGAAATTTGATTCCATTACGTTGGACTGTGAAAGTTTTCCCGTCCTCTTTAACACAAGCGTCGTTTTTCAAAAGTAAAGATAAATTAATAACAATTAATACAAATTTGTTCGTTTGGAGGGCGTCATAAAGACATGTACTTATACATATACTCCCCTACCAGGAAGAAATCCTAGTCAATACATTGTAATAATTTGTACATGTAACATTTATTACAAAGTACATTATACAAATATAATTAATTAAATCAAGTGTAGATGATTGCAATAAAAATCTTATTTATACTCACGTGTAAATGTAATAAGATGTTGGGTTTAAACATTCTCATACACGTTGAATTAGCATAAAGTATATTTTACTAACGCTTTTAATTTATATCTGTTATACAAATCTGTGTATTGAATGTGTATGTAATATACTCTAAATAATACCTCTTAACCCGCTTACGTGGATATCCTATTTATAATACTTGACATAAACCCAAGTCTTAATTCATAAGAGGCTTTGTTTGTTCATGTGATAAATAAATACCAGTTTTAATAACAATGTAAATAAAAATTAAACTTATTGACAAACATATATTTCTGTTGGCATTAACTATTAAATAAGTGAGATGTCAACAGGAGGTCAGACTATTAAATACAATTAATATATATATATGTGTGTTCACAAATACTATTATTGTACCCACGTCGTATGATAAATACACAGTCTATAATTAGTTAATAATATATTTAAACATTTAATGCCATACTGCAATATTGCATACATAGAATACAATTTTATAAAATGTTGTTTTGAATGTTTTGAAAAAATAAATATAGTCAAAAATACTTATAGTTTAGTAAATGAAAATAGTTTGACCAACAACAGCATTTTTTCAAAAAAATTAATTGCTCCAAAAAAAAAAAATAAACATTTAATATTTGTATGTATACATTAATGGACACAGCAAAAAGCATAACTAGTGCAGCGGTGTTAAGTCGTAAATTAAATATACTGCGTACTTAAATAGGGTACAAATAATAATATATTATATAATTTATTTTTGAAATGAGTTATATGGATTAAAAAATGAACGATTAAAAACACACCAGTATTTGAAAGTTCATGAAGTACAAAGTGGCTGTGGGCAATGAAGAGAACGTTAGTCGCCTTTTTATCATTTTTACTACGCGTGATGAGAAATAATGACCTTGTCCTTTTCTCGTCCAGGATAATGATTTATTTTTAAACAATGGGTTTTTTTTATATTATTCCAGTGGTTTTTGCAGCTGCGTGTAAATTTATTTCTCTTTATTTTTATTTTTAAATCTGCATGAAATTACGCTTCTTTATGTTTCTTTCCCCTTTGTCGTTCTCGTCTATGCCTATCCAAATTCAATCACGTCCAATAGACAATACGGTTATTGTGAAAAAGGGTTAAATTAAAAAAGAAAACCGACCAAAACAATCAAATAATATTTAATCACAAACGAACTCATTATATAAACCGATTAAATTATATTTATAGTCTGTAATATTCAAAACACACAAAATAGGTAATCAAAATCCCATTAAAATAAAATATATATTTTTATGATTTTTCATAACACTCTGTTGATATTTTTAAACAGTTTTTGTTCAATTTAAAATTGTTCGTACTTTAAATTAGTCTACATCGTAAAAATACTACACTGAAAATATGTAATATCATTAAAAACGTATTCTATGGCAATTTCACTAAAATTTTCTATATAGTGTTTTGGATCAGTAATTAAAGTTAACACAAAGTTTTAGATTTACAGATATACTCTCGTAGTTGGAATAACTTTAGCAATTTGTAATAATAATATTATTAACCACGAAAAGTACGAATTCTAATTATCCACACATTGCGCCAACATTATAAAAATTAGCACAAATTAAATTTAAAAAATTTATAGGACTCATTTCACTTAAATTAAAAAATGTTATATCGCATTTGGAATGCAAAAAGCTCATATCGTAAGAGGTATTTCGAGATAAACGAATTCAAAGTTTAGACTTTACGTAAAAGTTACACTTTTTGTTATATTTTTAGCATTTGTATAAATTACAAATTTAATTTCCATATTAGTAGCTTGCATATTTATTTAGAAAATATTATATTTAATTAAAACAAAATGTCTAATATGATGAAATCCGATATGTGATCATTTTTACTCAAAGTGATCAGTAACTCGATATCGTTACCAGCAAAATATTACATAACAGCGTTTCAATACAGAGAGATCATTATTAAAAAATATATTAATAATCAAACAAATTAATATGATTTAATGTTCAAATTGAAATGTGCTGAATTTAAAAGCTTCAATTGTTGATTAATAAATCATTAAAATTACTACTAATATTTATTTTTCTAAGCCGTAATCAAAAATAGCTACACAAACATTCTCTTTACATAAATAAAATTAAACTAAGACAATACCGTACTGTCAATAAATTAATCATACTAAATTAAGTAAAAAAATAAATGTTGGCAACAATAATCCTGTTGACATAAATGTACGGAAATTGCCTATGCATAACACCGTCATTATAAAAATTCAACTTAAACAAAACAATCGTTTAATATCTAAACTGACGACTTAAAAATTTTCTTAATTCTAATATCATTTTATTTCGATGTATTTTTAATGAATTTACGACTTTTGGCACCGTTTCATAAACGAAAGCGCGTTCGTTGCACTTCTTATCGTTTTTTATCGTTATCATCTCTAGAACCCTTGGGTTTTTAATGCCAAGAAATAAAAAAAAATACAATCAAACGCATTGGACAATTCAAAAAGTAATTTTGCGGTGAATAAAAATAAAATACGATTATAAAACCAGCGGAACAAACAACTGTTCAAAATGATAACATTTTTTTTTCTCCGCTCAATGACTTAATGATTATTCAAACATTGTATTACAAACGAAAGTAGAATACTCGGTGCTAAATAATGAATATAAAAGTATAGTCTCAACGACTTTATTGTGCAGACAAGGCGGTGACACAGACATTTCAGACTGCTGCGGGTAGTCCAATTTCCTCTGGTTGGCCTCTATCCGATAAGTATGTCTATATGCAACATTATTTTATTGCTATCGGATGTAAATCACGTGTTCAGTTTTCGTGTTATTGCTTTCCGTGTTGGGTGAAAACCTTTTGACGAATAAAACCGAATTATCGTTTATTGTTACCACACGATATTTGTCTCTTAAAAATATTTCAATAAAACATGAGATACGTTAATAATAACATCGAAACAATTCACTTTATTTGATAATAACGGCATTGTAATACTCAGATGTGTACATCTCAAATAACACGGCTGTTCAATTATATTTGAATTGTATTATATTCATGAAAATATTTCCAAGAAATTGCATTGTCATATCAAATTATCAAGTGTTTAACTGCAATTTTCAAACGTGCTGAGTTTTAAATTGGCTATTTTAGACTTCACTGGCTTTTCTATATTATGTGCATTTTTCATTGAACCATTTACACATCACTGTGACTTTCAATCTCTTGATCGTATATTGTAAACATTATTGAACAATGTAGGATGCATTATAAGCACTGATTTCATCTTTAGTCATCGCGGAAGTACTTAAGTACTTCCATACTACAGACATACTCAAGTATACCTGACCTATGGTGTCAGAATATCAGACTTGTCCCGAGATACAATACAACCTAGTTTGTTTAATTTTTTTACTAACTATGCTTCAATTTTTACGAATATCGAATTATAAAAACAACACTTGTATTATTTATAAGTTAAATTTCCTCAGTCGACTTCCCCAAATGCATTATTCAATGGCGTGGTAATTATATAGATTTAATTTTTGATGTTTTGAAGTTACAAATAATACCTGTTAACTACTCCGTATCACACCTGGTACGCAGTCAAACGTCAGGTTGAGTGATGTTAAAAATGTAAACTTCTCATCGAATCTTTTATGCGAGTTCAAATTATTATTTATTCAAGTTACGAAACTTTACACAGAGCTCTATCATTAAACGTCATGTACTAATCTATGCGAAGATTTTATCCTATTCATTTCGTCATGTCCAGACAACATAACACCTTAACTTCTTCTGGAGATTATAATTCATTGATTAATAGTTATAATATTTTAATTAATATTAAAATTCAATAGCCACTGTCAAAACACATTTAATTTGTCTGTATATTGATTATTAGAAATTTCAATCAGTTAATCGCATTCAGGGAAGTTAGATAAGTTGGTGTTTATTCCCAGGGTTGTGTAAACAAAAAATGAAATAAAAAACCTGTTTCAAATATAAGTAGACGGTTTAAAATGACCAAAGTGAATTTTAAAATTTTTGGTGTTTTAAATGCGTTTAAAACAATCCTAATTTTTTCTTTCGTCTCAAAACCCGAAAAACTAACTTTGAAAAATATAATATTTAATTTCAATATTTTAAGTACTCATTTAAAAACTATTTATTAATAGAGTTGAAGAAGACACATTTACAATTATATATGTAATTATCACAATAATAGATTATTTAGTTGAAAACGGTTCCTCTATGAATAAATAAGACAATATTTAAAAATTTAGTGAATTCAACAAATTATTGTTTTATACTTAGAAAATATTATACCTATACTTTGTCCATAAATGTTTTAGAAAAACCACCAAATACTACATCTCAGCAATTGTTATACACAGGAAATTTTATATTATAATCAGTAAATTACTATTCATGTTAATTAAATTTAGTTTATTCCTTTAAAAACAAATCAAACGCAGTGATTCCTTGAAGGATTCAGTTTAATGTTAAAACAATAAAAATATTTCATATTTAATTTGAGAATTAATTTAAATATCGCTAATGGAAGATTTTTTTCTATGAACGCTGCGAATCAATTAAATCCCACACATTTGTTCAAACTCATTAATTTTATACCTCCTAAATAGTCGTTAAGTGATAACGAATTATATATTATTATGGTGTTATTTTGACCCAGGGAAGTTTGTCGGTCAGTATCTATTTATATAATTGGATGTTATTGACCCAAGTTTCTTATAAACACGTTCTCACAAATTCTCTAAATAATCTCATACAAATATAAACATTCAAAATTACTTATTTTTTACATTTTAATTTTTAAATTTCCCATCATTATTCAAGAAATCAATAATCGATTTTTTCGGCTCTTTAAATAACAAAAAACTTAAATAAAGACAACAATGAACAAAATAATATCACTGTGAATATTTAGTTATTGAATATTAATATGACGACGTGATATAAAATAATTCATTTTAAAATATCTCTTAGTATAATCAAAAGTTAATTTTCTACTTTTAAGCAACAAATATATTATTAATTTTTACCAAACAAAAAAAATATATTCACCCGTCCTGTGTTTTTTTTTTATTTAAAAAAACAAACATTAATAATTTAAATGTCAAATGTTTTTAATTATTATTTATTTTACGTTGGGATTTTTTTTAGGCAGACCTACTAGATTTAATATTTATACACCTTCATCTGCCATGACGGAATATCAAAACTTTTGGGTGTTACTGGCGATAACAAAACCAAAAAAGATAAAACGCACCCCCCAAAAGTATCATTAAAACAGAGTGTTGTAAACATTGTGCGACGCGTTGAAATTTAAGAGGTAGTCGTGTGAGCGTTTAACAAAGCGATTGTTGTCAAAATAATTTGAATACTCGACGGTTGAAACACATAAGACGAGCTTATAGGGTGGAACCTCATAAATTTTGACGTTGGGAGATTTTCTCAAAAGCCCGGCGGCCAAGGTATGCCAACCAAACCGATCGCTATGTACGTCCGAGTGTAATGCTACGCTTACGGATGATACGCTATAGTGTGTACGCGACACGAGGTTGTAATAATAACAAATCCGGTGTTTCGTACTCTCCGACCTCTTAGTGCGAGTAATCCAAAACCAAGAGACGTGAAATTGCGAGCCAAAACGTTTAACGGCTTATGTGACAACGGCACCGTTTGGGTACACTAATCACTGTATTGTGAGCAAACTACGAGGAGAACATAAATAACAGCGAGCTCGATGGAAGTGTGTTGGTAGGAACGCCGAGAGCATTACGCTCACCGACGGGATTATTAAGCGTGCGCAAGTAGACGCCGCACAGCCAAACGTGCAACGCGAAAATGCACCAAAAGTGTCATGAGCGCACTTCAACGCGCGTTTAGATAAATTACATGCACCGATGAAACGGCCGACCTAGAAAATTAGCTATTTATATTAACTTTGGATAATATAAACGCATTACTGTGCAGACGGTTCGCCTTAAGTGCCTACTTGATAATTCATGAGATTGCGCCTCTAAAAGAGCACAAATACGGTGAGCACCGCTACATTTTATTTACCACGTGCACACGGACTATGTATTCGTGTGGGTAACTTCGCATAGAACTTAAACCGCACGTCGAGCAATGCAAATATTAATGGCCAATTAGTAGCTGTACACACACAAGTATTGGCAACGTCCGTTTTTTTTTTAAATTAACCCAACGACATAATATAACAATAATGTGTTGCGGTAAAAAAATTAATAATACCCTAAACCTCGAAGTATTAAAATGCTAATAGCTGCAAAAGTAATTAGGTTTAAATTGAGGTAATGACCAGTCGTTATTGTTAGGTGTTTATTTTAGTTCATTGAAAAAAGTAAAACACGTATATATATATATTTTTTAACATTTATCTTAAAATCCCATAGAAAAATTCATGATAAAGTGATATCAGAATAATTTCCATTAATATAAAAATGAAATTTACTATCCAACCTTGTTGACGAACATTAAATAATTATTCTAAGTTTGTATCAATAAATTTCTCGTACATTAAAATAAAATGTTTGTGTTATTATAGACTTCGTAGTAACATAACATTTTTTTTATTGTTAGTTGGTTTGCCTATTAGTAAAATCATATATTTTTACCTAAGTTATTTGCAGAGGACAATAAATGAATTTTGTTCGAAGGATTTTAGAAAAAATGTTCAACAATGATTTTGCTCAATTCGTAAATTAACAAAAATGTATTGATAGTTTACTGACTACGACAATAGTAACACTTGAAAATGTGTTTCTTATATTACTAATTTTCTTAAACCTAAAACCCTTTTTAAAGATATTGGCGACAATAATATTACTAGCATATTAACACACACAATCACAGCGCCATGTTTATTGTGTTGTATATCAGTAAACAAATATTTTTTAAGAAACATATTTCGGTTATCAACTCGATAACTATATGTGCCCAGGCAGTACTAAATTCTCATGACTCAACCACAGTAAATAAAATATTACAATTTAAGGCGCTATTAAACACATGGTCTTTACATCTGAAAAAACAGTTTTCGCGGTAGAAGTCTTTCGCATTCCTACAGCGATGCTCCTGTGGGATTATTGATAAAGTCCAACGGACATGTTAGTGTAACTACTGCATTGCGCATCCTCTTATAACGCTATAAAACGTCTGTTTATCCATTGCGTTTGGTTCCAATAGACATCCTTCGCAGCCCCTAGAGACTACCACACAACAAATTACAAAATAATCACTTAAATATTTTTAGACCAACGGAAACACGATGTAAACTATAGAAGAGAAAATTCTGTATAGTAACTATTAAACATTTAAAATAGACTTTTAATGTTTGAAAAATATTTTTAATCAACAACAAACAATTTAACCTCAATTTATTAAACATCATTTTTGCTTATAAAACATTAAAAGTGAAAAAGTGAATTCTTACACTATCGTAACTAAACATAACTAAACAAAATTATCAAAATCATAATTTTTTTTTTTTGAAAAAATTTATTTTCACATAAATACTTAACAAGAGCTAAAAAATATAAGATTTCAGGTCTAAAATTCCTTCAGATAAAGCTATTTTACTTTTCTACGAATCTGTATTAAAATTTCCGTGTTTTTTAATCGAACAATCATTTTTAGTAATATTATTTCAATATAAATTAATAAAATAATATAATATTACTTAAATTTATTATAGTTAAAATATAAATACTTTTATACTGAATACGTCTTACATTTTAAATGTTAAGTCTTTATTTCAATTTAACACAAAACCATTAAAAATGTTGATAATAATAATAAATTTCTTTAAACGCTTCTTAAAGTTTTGATACCATTACGAATAGAAATCTTCGTCTGATTCTAGTATAGGTGATACAGATCCTAAAACATTATTTTTAAAAATTATACATATTTTTTTTGAAATTTTTTTGATTTCCGCCTATTATTATAATGATACAAAGAGTTGGGGTCAGTTAGGTGATTTTTCGCTTACAGAGAAATATTAAATTTGGCCTCATTGTAAAAAAAAATATGTTGGTGATTTATTTTTACAACACATATTATTGATTGAGTTTTTTCTTTTAATCATCGATTATTTATAAGATAATGAAAGAGAAAAATTTGTGTTAAGTCATTTTACAATAGAAATTCCAATAGGAGTTCCGTAATATCATGATCTGTATTTTATAGTAAATAAACCATAAATATTTTGTTGGACATACCTCTAGAATTATCTTTAGTCAGTGATTGTTTGAATTCTTCATCTGGAGTGATTATACGCCTAACGAAATGATCGATTAGCATTCTCAAGTTAGTTTTCAAATACTCTGGATTGTCATTTTGAACACAATTTAATTTTAATATTTCACTATCTACCAGACTGGATAACGATTGATATACTATTTTTTCCCATTCCTAAGAACATACAAAACTTAAATTATTTTACAGAAATTAAATTGTGTATATGTATATATATATATATATATACTAAATATTCATTAGAACAAAACAAAGTTTCTTTGAAATATTTGAGTTCTGTGTCGTTTTCTGAACACAGTTCTAAGATAACTATTAATAGTCTTGCCAAAGAATCGACATGTGAGCGTTTGACTTTGACATCCTGTTTTTAAAAACATTTCTATATTATAAATCAACTAAAAAACTTTCAATACATTATAATTTACCCGCTGAACAACATCTGCTTCAGTCATTTTTTCCATTAATGTTGTATGGGTATCGTCAATCAAAATACTCATACTAGATACAGATTCCACAGTGTTTTCTTTAAGTTTATTGAAGAGACATTTCTGAATGATACGATATTGTGCACATAACGATGCTATATCATCCTGTAAAGACAATACAAAATCTTAAATCCAATAAATTATTCTTGTAATACTTTTAATAATAATTACACTGAATACTAAAATAAAGTAATTTATAATATTCACTATACCCTATTTATTTAAAATTTATAATCAACGTAAATATTTAATTAATTTTTTTTTTTTTTGTAAATCATGATATTAGCAAGTCCATTTTTATCCAAACTTTTTTTTTAGTAAATGTATTATTCAACACTAAATATCTGTATGTCAAATAAACTAACTATAAGTTTTAACGATAAATAAAAAAAAATCTGAACTTTCAAGTATTACTGTATAACTATTTTACACAGGCAGCTACAAAAAAAGCATATATTGGAATCGTCTCGATTTCTATTATAACAGAGTGGTATAACGGATTGGAGTTTTTAGAAATCGTTTTTTACTATAATGGAGGTCAAAGAAATGACTTCCATACTCTCCTATTAGTGTATAAATAAAATAGGAGCGTAGAGAAATAATTTTTTTAAGTGACTGATACACATTAACATTTGGTACATCAGACTACAACACTAAAAAATATATATATTTTTAACTGCTTAAGGTAACTTAGGATGAAAGTTATCTCATTTAGTACTGAATCTGTATACTGAATAATGGTGAACTATCTGATTAATTATGATTCTTTCTTGTCTTCATAAAAAAATTTTGTTTATTCAAATAATCATTGAATGACAATTGTTTTGGTGGTACCTGAATAGAAGATAACTTTGCTAACAAGTCAATATGTTCCTCGATGAATTTAAATAAAATTTCAGTAGGTATTTCAGATTTATCACAACGAATTATGCACTTTTTACTCTTGTAATATTCTTTATGTCTAAATATCGATAATATAATAATCACTTTTAAATGCATAGGAATAAACTTAATTTTATCTTGTTTTACCTTAACAAAATTTCTTGTATAATGGGATATGCGATTACAGGGCTTGTTGATCGAATTTCATAAATATTTGTTGAAGCAGAATTTATAATCTGAATTGAGTTTGAATCTGTAGTACAAAGAAATAAATCTTGTTCTGAATTGGATCCACCGAAAAATTCTGCAATATCGATTGAACATATTTATTGTAAAAATCAATGTTAAAATGACATGAAAAAAGAAGAGGAGGAATCATACCATTGTATACCAAAAAATGTTTTGATTTGCAACTATTAACCTGAATAACTTATACGATAATTAACAATAATTTACGTTTTTAACTCAGTTACGTGCAACATAACATGGAACAAATGCAATTATTTTACCTCGGATATCGCATAATTTTATGAACGCAGCCATTTTTCAATACAGTATCAGATGGAACAAGTTAAAACCACTTTGTATTTCAACGACCAAATAATCGTCATTTTTGAACTCACGTTCACATTATCTGTATATTGGGGAAATTTACGAATAAACTTTTATTTGAGAATTATTGTTTTTTCACTTCTATTATGTAGTTTTATAAACTTCATTCTTTACACATCATATGACAATTGTTATCATTGTTTTATATAGTTACTTTCATTATAACAAACTATATGAGACTTGTATAAATTATATTCAAATAACAACAACTTATGAACAAATTATAAACTTAAGCTAAACTATTATAAAGAGTATTTATTTAAATATGATCATTATTAATTCCATTCAGTTTTATTGCAATATTAACAACGAACAAACATTTATGTTTAACATAATTTCCAGCAATATCCAAAAATTACCTTTAAATAATAATTTTAATGCTATAGGATTTTCATCGACTGAAAATTTAATTGACCACATAAAATCTGAAACAGGTGTTTGCGGTCTAACATTGTACATCATAGACAATGGTAATCTAATTGATTGCTGAACTAATCCAGGTACTTGTGAATCTTCCGTAAAATAATAAACAAATACTAGTAAATATAATGACGATACGGCAGATATCATATCGTCGTTGTCTCTAAATATTTTAGTGTGAATCGTTACAGATTCCGCTAAAATTGAAAAAATTGATGTTTATTAAAAAAACATAAAATATTAACAGAAAATAAAAGCTCACACAAGTTATTGAAATGCAATACTGATGGTATAGCTTTAAGAGGTTGCGTTAAGAGAAATGATACTTGAGTACAACTTGTGGTTAATGAAGGTACCAAATCAACCTCTACATCACATGTATTTCTCGTTTCTGTACTAGGATAGATGTCTTTGCACCGCAAACTTAATTTCAACCAAGCAGGAGTGTTGGTGTCTAAAAATAAATCCATCGTAAACAATTCTATTATACTCATCAAGTATAAATTAATTAATATAATTAGTTAAATTAAAATAAAATAAATAGTGCATTACTTAAGAAGTACAAAAATTAAAAAATATGAAGGTCATATTTTTATTACCATCTTCTATGGTCATTTTTTCAACATTTTCTTTTAATTGGGCAAGTTCATTTGCAGCGTCTTTGTACTCAATAACTGGCCTTTCAGGTGCCATAAATGTTTCAGGTTGAGTACCTAAATAACATAATCTTAACTCTCCAACTTCCGACAATAGCACCAAACATCCTTGAATTTCCTATTTGAAATTACTGCAATAAATACAGAAAATAAGTAACATGTAATTGTTTCTCTTACTTTGAAAGAAGCTCTAGAAATCAAACTTGGACGGTATGGTAATTTGGCAGTCCACTTGAGTTTTGTTTGTTCATAAATCATTAGTGTATCAACATCAGATACTATCATACAAATCATTTTTGTATCAGGGTGACTATCTGTCAAATCGAAATAATTCAATATACAAACGTTTTTATAGATGAAATAATTTACTAAATTAAATATAATTTTTTCTAATTATTTTCAATTATTTTTAATTTTACAGTAAAATTTGAATTTCTAAAATTGACATATCATATAAATTGAGATATTATATACAAATTATATTTTTAAAATATCAATTGAATACCTATAATATATGGGTGAAAACATATTGGGGAGTATTGAAGTCGTTTCATAAACCACAAAACGCCATTTCCTTGAAAACAATAATAATTTCGTTCTCCTAATACGTGAATTGTAGTTAAAGATGATGTCATTGACACAGTTTGAATGTCATAAACAGTTTCACCCATGTTACAAGACCACATAGGCCATTTCTGTTTAATATTTGAATCTGCTAACTCTTGATATCTGTAAAATTTTACTTTGAATTATAATTTAAAGTTTTCTGATAATAAATCTTATCAAAAATTCCATATAATAAAAATAATTTTTCAAAGAACAGATATTATTTTTGTGAAAAAAAAAATTCTGAAAGCGATTAAACCAAACTGTACAGTGGTACACATATTAGAAGTAGTATAGCATTAATTTTTTTATTAGATTTTTATGAATACTCATGTTACAAGTTATTGACAGACACAAGTTAAATACGATAAGAAAAAAGTCGATCATTCGTTCCATTAAAACCTACATATCAGATCATTCTTTATTTCATTTTAAAGAACTTTTCTTCAAAGAACTATATTTTGTTACTTTCACTAATGAATGTTGGGTTTATTTCATGCTAGAAAATTTGTACAAAAGGCTTCATATTTTCAAAGTAAGATATGTGCTTTTCAAAAATCTATTTTGTTTCAAAGTTGTACAAGTAAGTCTAATACATTTTAAATATTCGTATGTCAAAAACTCTAAAACGTTCTCAATATATGTGTTAAAAAACAATATCGAACCCAATATAGGTATGTAATATATAGAATGTTCAGTAAGTAAAGGGAAATGGGTTACTAATGTTGTTATTGTTTGTAACATTTAACCTGTTTCAATACTAACTGAACACGCTCTATGTGTAATTATGTATATAAGTAAGATAAAAACTTATTAGTTAAGCTTATGAAATTTTTTTTCACAAATTTTAATTAAAACTTAAAGTAAGTGTAAGCAACATACCCTTTATGCCTTATTCGGGACCTATAGTAGTATTATTAATATAATAACGTTGTATTTTAAAATGCACAAGTTGTATAATCAATGATATTATGTTATTGTAATATTATGAAATAATTAATTAATAAACAAAATATTTAGGTTTTTGTGATGACCAAGAGTTGTCATAATTTACAAACTAATAACTGAGATATTTCAAACAATAGAAAACATATATAATATTATTAATATACTTACTTGTAGCAGGATAAACAAAGGTCAGAATTAAGAGTAACAAATGCATCAATTGATTCAACGTATTTTAGAGGATATGGATGAAGATATAAAGGCAAAATCGTTCGAAAACCAAACGTCTGTTGTTCATAAACCATCAAAGTTCCATCCAACGACAGAATACATATAAAATCTCTTTTGCCTGTACCACCTCCAAATGGTCCTATAACCATTTGATAGGCACTGCATTGAAATTGATGTTCGTAAGCAGTTTCCAATATATATTGATCACCTACAATGATAATTATACTTCAAATATGTACATATAAATAAAAAGATCTACAAATATGAAGAAAGCAATTTTTACTGTAATAAGGAAAAAAATAAGACGTGTAATTCATTTAAAATTTTATGTGAATATATAATACAGTTGAACACGTTCATTTCAAACAGGAAAAAAGTTATCGGTTGCGGCTAAAACTTTATTTTATCTTATATTGAAAAGTATAAAAATCTTATTAATTAAATTTAAATAGCAATATAATGAAAATAGCAACTTTTAAAAATAATATAATAAAATATTTTTATAACATTAGTATAACCTTATATATTACAATCACTTTAAAATAATATTATTAAAAAAAAATGTTATTAGAGTATAAAATTATTCAATGGTATAATTTTTCCAAATTTTTTGTAGGATAATTTATTTACTTACCGTGATCTGTAGAGCCTGGTAATCTATTAATGCTATAAATAAGTACAGAGAAAGGACGTAGAGCAGCAATATATTTATTTGGAGAGCAGCTGAAACAAAATTATGAATTATAAAAAATGTATAGTAACATTTTTTTCTAATGAAATTTAATCGATATTATCAATAATAATAATGTTATTGTATTGTTTTGCTAATTTTGTACTTTTAAGTTACTTAAAAGTACAACTATTTAACTGTTAAAAAAAAAAAAAAGATCATCATAAAAATTATAAAAAGAACACAAAATTTTGACTTAACATGGTAATAATAAAACTAAATTATAATTATTTAATTTATAACTTGGTCGATATAGAACGTACAGATATAAATATAAAATCAATTACACTTTACTACAGTTAACTATTTTATAAGGTAAGGAAACCGTTGTAAAAATTATCAAGCATTATAATATTTAGTTATAGGCGTTAGTGGTGTGCAACGTAGAAGAAGATTTTTATGTTCGTTATGGTAAAAAAAAACGTCGCTAAACATTACCCTGGTCTTTACATTTTTTAAATCATCAAATGCTAATATCACAAGAAATTATAAGCCACAAAAATTACTAAAAAAATCGCTTTTATGTATTTTGGGAAGTGTCACCACCATCAGCGTTAAACAAATAAATAATGTGAATATTATTACATATTATTTACGGCTAATAGTGTAATACACAAATTAAATGACTATAACACAGAATATACAGGGAGCACAAAAAAAAACGTTTAAAAACTATTTACAAAACTAAAATACTGACTTGGATAGAGTATAAATAAATCAACTACTGTTCGGTCCTATTAAACTTAAAAATTCTAGACCCTTATCTACAATGAAGGGCTCCGACTAATCACAAGAGTTTTTCGGACTATTTCAGTGATTATTATCATATTTATGCAGAAGAATCAAATAAAAGAAAACAATATGTCCTTTAATACTGTATAAAACAATTTTAATAAATGGGACTATAAAATAACCTACGACACATATCGAAAATTTTTAAAGTCCAGCAATTTTAACAAATTTTATTGGAGAAGAGACAGAAAAATATACAAATGAGACATTTCAAAAACTTTTGGGAAACTGTAACAAGTTTAAAATGTAAAAAATAATCTGTTTATAAATACTACTCATCCATCATTGCCATATGTGAAGAAGTTATTATTCGAACAAGAATTGGATACATTTTTCTAACTCAACCATGACTTATTTAAAAAAAATCAATTTGTGATACAATATACAACATATCATCATTGACTACTCAAAATACTCAAATGATTTAATAATTCTAGAAAATCACTTCTTGAAAAAAAATAAAGAGAAGATAATGAATAAGAGATATGACTGTTTTTTTAACTAACCTAGGTTTACCTATTTAGTTGTAACTAAAAACTATTGAATATTTATTTACATAAAATTATTAGAATAATTACCAAAATTGTTAATTATAAAAAGAAAATTAAATGAAAAAAATAGTTTTATTTGTTGTATTGAATAATAATTAAAATGTTAATTTATGATAAAATTATGTTTTAGCAATTTAGTATATCATTGGTAATATATTATATACATGTATATTTAACTTATCGTATGTTCATTTCCGGAGAGATAGTTAGAGGTCCGAGGTTGGAGCTATACTGCCGACTTAGCTTGTTTTTGTAATTTTTGTTGATGTTGTTTCTGTTATTATTGTTTTTATTTCTGTCATTGTTGTTTTGTTTTTAACGTTATCGCTGTATTTATTTTTGTTGTTATTACTGTTTTTGTTATTTTTGTTTTTGTTGTTGTTGTTATTACTGTTGTTGTTATTTTTGTTTTTATTGAATTAAAAAACTTCTTCTTTCTTCATTTCTCTCACCTTAATACCAACTACTTGGGGTTGGCCACCCTTATTCTAAATTTCTACTTGACACGATCTACCACATTATCTGCGCCTACGTCAGTCGTCCTCGCATTACATTGAATAACATCCACCCATCTCTTTTTTGGTCTTCCTCTAACTTGTCTTTCTTAAATATTCTTTTCCATAACTGTTCTTATCACTTCCGATTCCTTTCTCTTCATAACATGATAAAACCATCCAAATCTATTTTCTTTCATCTTATCAACGATTGACGCTACACCTATACTCTCTCTTATATGTTCGTTCCTTATCCTATCTTCTCTAATAACTTCATTCTTACATCTAAGCATTCTCAGCGTCGGGACAAATGTTTGTTTTTTAATTTATAGTACGTAACATAAGCTTTAATTAAATAAATAATTTTAATTAAATAAGTTTAAAGAATCCAGTAATTCTAGAAAATTTATAGAGGTTAAGTTGAGAAAATTGACTTTTGTAAAATAATTGCTATGTTGAGACAAGTTTTCAAAAAAAAATATATCAAATGAAAGGGAAATAAAAAATAGTAAAATTAATACCTTTTCAGCTTCATATCGAAGCTAAATAATAATGAAAGTTTAATAAAAGTGATAGTCGATAACAACTTTTTAGAAGAAAAAATTTTAATATGTTTAAGAAAAGATAGGGTAAGGTATGGAAATATTATCAAGTTAGGATTCTTATGATTTATTATGATTTTCTTGACTTCTGCGAATGTATTTGAAATATGAAATTTGCATTAGTACTTTTTCAATATCCTGTCTAAAACAATTATTTTTTCAATAGTCTCTTTCAATCTAAGGAACAACTTATAGATTTTTCTAATAATTACTATTTTTTTCATCATTTTAAATTATGGGGTAAGATGTAAANAAATTACTACTTTTTTCATCATTTTAAATTATGGGGTAAGATGTCAAAAACGATAGTTTTTGACCAAAATTGCTGTAAAAGAAATAGGTCTTGTTCGATGTACACTGTCTTAAATATTATACGATAAAACTAATTGTATATAGTAGAAACCATATTTATAGTAATATGTAAAAAAATAACTGCTGTTACTAAAATCAAAACCCTTTCACAACACCAACTCTTAATCTTAGAAACCGTTAAAAAATTTATTTTATGAATGTGTTAAGGCTTTCGTGGATTGTCTAAAATGTTTAAGGATTTAAACATCCGTGAAATGTGTCAAGCAAATTAATTTTAATTATAATACCTAAATTTTTGCTATTTAAAAATTACAAACGCTACAGAGTAATACTATCAATTACTATCACAATTGTCAAATAATATTCTATATGTAATATTTAATATAAAAAATAAGACACGAATTTATATTTTTTAAATATTCAATTTTTCAAACACCCTTAAATATTTTCAATGAAAAAAAAATTCAAGCTTACATCACTAATTCTATTTGACAACAATTTAACGCTATTTTTTAATCTATCTTCAATTCTTTTGGTTAAAATGATGTAGTATAAGTTAGTATTTTAAAAATAGAAATCGTGTAACGATAAAAAGAAAAATAGCGTATATGTTCTAGTATAGGTTCTTTATTTTCGTCATATATTGTCAACTCACAATGTGTCTGTTACCACGTTTTCTCAGCTCTCACCGAACCGATTTCTTTCAAAGATACGTCAAAAGACCATAAATCTTATCTAGTCAAAGACATTACCCTCAAAAATTTAAAAAAATTCCCTCGTTCTCCGTAAATGGGGGGAACCTCCAAAAAAATTACAAATTTAAAAATCGCTTATTTTCGAAATTTTTTTTACTTAAAATTGCTATAACTTTTTTAAAAATGACCAAATCAATATAATTTTTTATTTCATAGATGCATAATGTCTTTACCTATCATTTGGTATTTTTTTTTTATAAATCTGACCCTTTACTTGTACACAGGGGAGGATTTAAAATGACAACTTTTTCAACTTAACTTTTGAAAGAGTTCCGGAAGGTCTGACACTTTTATATATAACTTAAATTAAAGCTAATGTAATATACTTTATTATTAAAAAAAAAAAATTTCGGACTTTATTTTGTTTTAATGGTGAAAACATATCAAAATTAATAAAAAAAATTCGATTTTTGTAAAAAAATTCTTTTTTATATTTTTAACTTTATAATGCTATAACTTTTTGAAAAATGCTTGGATCATTATATTTTTTTAAAGATAAGTACTATTTATATTTTATTAAAATATATATATTTATTTATTTATTCATATATTACACTTATAAATCATAAAACTTGTAATCAGAATATAAATAATGAAATAGGAGCTTTTGGAATAATTCACCAATTTTTTTAATTAAACACTATTTACAAATTTGCATCGANAAATAATGAAATAGGAGATCATGTAGCTTTTGGAATAATTCACCAATTTTTTAAATTAAACACTATTTACAAATTTGCATCGAAGCGTTTTTTATGATAGTGATTTTAATCACTATATTTATTTGTGTTTTATCTTGGGAGAATCTATTGGGTTTCAGTAAATAATAAAACGGGGTTCTATTGTTCTTATGTTTGTAACAATCAACGTGTTTCTTTACTTACTGAACCTGTTTATACATAAANTTATGATAGTGATTTTAATCACTATATTTGTGTTTTATCTTGGGAGAATTTATTGGGTTTCAGTAAATAATAAAACGGGGTTCTATTGTCCTTATGTTTGTAACAATCAACGTGTTTCTTTACTTACTGAACCTGTTTATACATAAAACAATATTTTACTACTACCTCTAAAATGCATTTTTACCATATATTTTTTTGTCATATGTACTCCCATATCTCATATTATTCCGAAGATCACCTGTTACTTAAAATTGAAGGTTTAACCCAATCCCAAAATCCTAGCTACGCGCAGCAATAATTTAAACATTCACCTAACCAATTAAATATTTTCTTTTATTTGTAGTATCATAAAACTGACTTAATTAAACAAAATAAAATATGATTCATTTTATTTAAACTGATAGGAATGCGATACCAAAGTAATTGTGTTCCGTTTTGAGATAAATTTGTTATATGATTGCGCAGCATTAAAAGGCAAAAACCAACAAATAAAGAAGGAAGTACCCACCGGAATAATAAATAACAATTAGATTGTTGGTAGCTTAGCATAATGCGTTTAAATTTAAATTCTATTAAATTAAAGATGACAGCCACGGGATAGTATAAAAATGTTGGTATTAGGTACTTAGATATGATTTCACTAAAAGCTAAGTAAAACAAATGTTCTATTTGACGATTGTTTAAGTACATCTCTCTGCATCGTTATATTTAATAAACATCTAGAAGTCAAAATGCGAGGCATGTTTTTCAATGCTTTATGACATGTAGTATAGTATAGTGCCTTTGAATGCACAGAGTATATCTGCGCAGTCGAAGGAAGTTTGAAGTTTAATTTTGAGAGAAGGGAGCATTTTTGTATACAAGTACCAGCTATCTAAAGATAGTTGGTACGTTGTAAAACACTCTAAGTCAAGATATTGAGTATCATAGTTTTCAATGATGAACAAAAAAAAAAAAATCTTGAATTTCACTTTTAATTAGGTTTGAATTGGTTACGAATTCGTTATGTAATATGCACACTACATGAATTTTTTTGACATCAATTTTAAAATTATTTGAATCATGAATATTAATATTATTTGTTATTATAATATTTATTATTATAATATTTAATATTATTTCAAAATTAATATTATTTGATCATGTTAAAATAGACTTGTAAATTATCAAAATGTACAAGTCATAGTAGTGAAAACGAAGAATGGGCTATTCTCCTATTATCCAATTTTTATTATATAGTGTGTATAACTTTAGTGCTGGTAAGAGTAGGGTAACTACATTGATAAATTCTTCGTACGCCACTATGTTTTATTAATAACTAAATTTTTTAACTTTACTTTATTGTATAAAAAAAAATGTTACGTAAATATATGAACAAGGGCACAATTGAAGTAAAAAATTACTCTAGTTTTAACATTTTGTACTATTAATCATGTAGTTTTTAGATAAATGATGGATCCAAAGCTTTTTTTTTTTATTTAAATCAACGAATAAACCTTTTGCCATATGCCAACGGCCACACCACGTTGAATACACCAGTTCTCGTCCGATCACTGAAGTTAAGCAACGTCGGGCGTAGTTAGTACTTGGATGGGTGACCGCTTGGGAACACTGCGTGCTGTTGGCTATTTTTAAAAGGTTTTTCCCTACTTTTAAAATTTAATTTTTAATTTAATTAGTTTTTTTATTTCATTTTATCACTAAAATTATTTAAAGAATTTTTTTTTATTTCCAAGTCATTTTGACAAATAAATTTTTCCTAATTTCATTATATTTGTTAAATCCTTAAATTTTTATAAGTGATATAAAGTAGATTGTTTTTTGAAATTCTAGTTAGTAAATTAAAAATTTTTTAACGCTAATTTACACTAACCTTTATGTTTGTTATAATTTATATCTTACAAAATAGATACATTAAAATTAAAATCTAAATATATTTCTTTCATACTAACCTGACTAATTTGCCAGTGCAAACTTGCAAAATTGGACTATCAGTCTGGACTTCTATTAATAAGTCAGACGGTAAAAAACTACTAATGTTATCTTGATTGAATCTACATAATATTTTACTACTATATACTCTCAGAATACCGTTTAAACTTCCTACAATGATATTGTCCTCATGTTTTTTATCTGTATCTTCAAATAAGTTATCTACCGTTAAAGCATCACAGCTAAACGTTTCGTTTTGGCCACATAATGTCGACCAGCAATCTCTCGCTCTGAATAATGACATAGCTATAATAAATATATTACTTTAATTTTAATTAACCAAAAACAAATAATAATTCGATTNAGGTTTTTCCCTACTTTTAAAATTTAATTTTTAATTTAATTAGTTTTTTTATTTCATTTTATCACTAAAATTATTTAAAGAATTTTTTTTTATTTCCAAGTCATTTTGACAAATAAATTTTTCCTAATTTCATTATATTTGTTAAATCCTTAAATTTTTATAAGTGATATAAAGTAGATTGTTTTTTGAAATTCTAGTTAGTAAATTAAAAATTTTTTAACGCTAATTTACACTAACCTTTATGTTTGTTATAATTTATATCTTACAAAATAGATACATTAAAATTAAAATCTAAATATATTTCTTTCATACTAACCTGACTAATTTGCCAGTGCAAACTTGCAAAATTGGACTATCAGTCTGGACTTCTATTAATAAGTCAGACGGCAAAAAACTACTAATGTTATCTTGATTGAATCTACATAATATTTTACTACTATATACTCTCAGAACACCGTTTAAACTTCCTACAATGATATTGTCCTCATGTTTTTTATCTGTATCTTCAAATAAGTTATCTACCGTTAAAGCATCACAGCTAAACGTTTCGTTTTGGCCACATAATGTCGACCAGCAATCTCTCGCTCTGAATAATGACATAGCTATAATAAATATATTACTTTAATTTTAATTAACCAAAAACAAATAATAATTCGATTCTTCTTAATTTTTATTAAATAACATACAAACTTATTTTACTTGAATTTTTATGTTAATTTTACCATTTTAAAACAATTATTAATACAATATGTTAATTTATCAAAATTTAAACTAAAACAAACAAATTAACGAATATTGTCACATTTAATGATTGTTATTTGAGGAATACTTAAAAAGTTTAATAACTTATATTAGTGCTATATATTTTTATTAAATAACCCTTATCATGATGGTCATTTGAATTTTCAGATAATCATACTAACAGTATAAAACTTATCAATTACTCCAACTTGATAATAATGAAAATATTTGTAAACATTTAATAATTAAAATCCCACACGATATAAGCTTGTAAAATTATTTTATTTTATTAAATTTCTAAAAATTAAAGTCAACTTACCTATGTTCTAAAAACCCAGCTAACTGAAAGCGAAATTTATCATAAGTTAGAATATTTTTACGATTGTTAAAAACAAAATATCATCGTCGTTATGGCAACAAAATAACAACATAGCAACCAAAAAACAATTTATTCAATGAAACATTTTATTNCTTGATGGAATAGAACCAAATTTTTGATAGGAGTGTATCAAGACACAACACATTGAAAGCCAAATAATATGGATTAGTATTTAATAATTGATAGGTTAAAATAAATGATTTTACATAATTTTGTATATTTATGAGTACATTAATCTTAAAAATTATGAAAATAACACACCTGACAGTCTTTGCTGCAATACCATTGATTACCACATCCAGCACATACAAATTGAGCAGGTTTTTGCATGCAACCTTGACATTGGGGAGCACTTGAGGGAGAACCAACATTAGTAGAGTCTTGCCCCTCATCAATAACTAATCTATCAGATGCATCTTCATCATCAACTTGTGTAGACTAAAAATGTTTTACACAATTAATTTAGTTTTTATGGAGTTTTTGATCAATTTTACCTGAACCGGTACTACGTTTGTTTTTTGTTGGAAAGTAGATGACGACATAGATGTACTTTGAACTGGAGTAATAGTAATTTCATTACGTGATTGCTATAATAATGAAACTTATTAAAATTTAAAAAGAGAATAGTATAATTAGGTAGTTAAAAATTGTGAAAAATATTAAAATTTTGAAAATTTATATATTGTATATTATTATCTCATGTAAAATGTGTAAATGGTGATATTTTATTATTTATGTCTATACTAAAATTTAAATTTTATTGAAAACCTTTTAAAAGTATAAAATAAATTTAAATTAACTCATTTTTTTCCCTCAATAAAAATATTATACTAACTTTTCATTATTATTTCATATGTACAAACAATTAAATATTTTGATATTAATTTTATTACCATTAAAAAACTAACAAATGTGTATTAAAAAATGTTCATAGATGTTTTGTACCTTATCTTTTACTTTTGAAATTATCAAATAAAATTAAAAATTGTGTTTTTAATAAAAAAAAAAATTATTGAATTACAGAATTAGATGAAACCACAGTAGCAGTAGGTATTTGCCGTTGTTTACTTCTCATTTGTTTACAACGCTCTGGAGCAGTTAATAGTCTGGCTAATGTAGGAGAGTAAGTAGTTGGATGACTTGGCAGGCTAACTGGCAAGTTTTGATTACCAGCACCTTTGGTTAAAATTCCTAGGGATAAAAGATCATACTATTTAGTTGGGGTCTTCAACAACTTATTATTCAATATTAATATTGTTTAAATCTCACAATATATTATCTTTAAATATTGATATATTATATTACAACATCAATATTATCAATATATTAATATTGATTTATTAATAAATATATGTATTTAGTTTATGAATTAATAAAATTTATTACTTAAATGCATTTTATTTTATTATTAATATTTAATATTTGAAAATAGTTGATAGGATATTTAATAACTACTTTTTGTTAGTTAAGTTAATGCATTTTCATAATTAAAAATAAATAGATCCTTTAATAAAAATCACACATAACAGTACATAGAAACAGTTTTAAATACAGTATTAATTATTAAAAGTCCTAATAACTTTGATTTATGACACAAAAGAAATATAAGACTTCACTCATTTTCTTCATTTAAAAAGTAAGCATTATGTTTTTGTAATTTAATATATCTTATCATATAACAATTTTGAAATATAACATCCTCATCAGACATAATTATTAATAATATGCCGATATCATTGTCATATCGAAATTTTGATATTGTTGAAGACCCTACCATTTATAATACAATTTAATTATTTATCAAAACTAACTTAAAATCTTAAACAAATATTTTTTTAAGGATAGTTTTTCAACAAGATATTGAAAATATTGTATATTAAGTATTAGCATACAATTTAATTTAATTAGGTATGTTTCTTAATAAAAAATAAAGATTAGGTAACCCCCACAATAATTTATGATTTTATATCTTATTAACCAGTGATGTTCCTAGGGTTTTATCTTGGAAATAGATTCTTAAAAAATTTCTTTTCTAACCCCTCTAAAGTATAACTTTACCATATTTTTTATTTTTATCCTGGGTGTCTATCCCCCATAATCTCCTTTATGAAAACACCCATGTTATTAACAAACCATACAAAAATTGTTAATAACTTAATGCAAAAATATGTTTTGTGTATTTTTCTCTTTTTTTAGAATAATTTTTATGAAAGATTTTTAAACTATTATCTTTTTAGTACAATATTTTTTTTAATGGAATCCAGTTATTCAAATATTATAGTATTAAAGATCAAACATTATGTACCTTCCCAAATTTATTCTCAATAAACTTAATATACTATATGAATGTAAATAAAATTATTCTACCTTTATTTTTATTTTTTCTAAAATACACTTAACATATTTTTGGAATAGGCCAAAAGATTAATGATAATATTAAAGAAAATATTCATCAAAATATAAATTTCATATAATAATAAAGTATTAACCCTCCAATATACCATGGAGAAGAGAGCTTTGTTGCTGTNAGCCAAAAGATTAATGATAATATTCATCAAAATATAAATTTCATATAATAATAAAGTATTAACCCTCCAATATACCATGGAGAAGAGAGCTTTGTTGCTGTTGCTGTTGTTGTTGAAAATGCTGTATAGGTTGAGAAACTGGATGTAATGTAACTTCTGGAAATGCAGGAACATCTTTAAAACGATTTAAATCATTATGTTGTTCCATAATATTGTTAGAGATTCCATGAATATGTGATGAATCTAAAAATAATTAATAAATAATTTTGCAATTAGAAATTTTTTATACTACATTTTATAAGAATAAATCAGTATACAACTCACGAGTTTTGTAATTTACATCATTAGGATGATGAATTGAATTAGGGAAACCTAATGGATTTGGATAACGAAGAGGAGATGTTGATGTAGGGACTGAAAAATCATTAGGTACTTTACGACGACCTCTCTTGGGTATTGCAGTTTCTGGATTTTTTGACCTATGATCAGCAATTATTAGTTTAACATCTAATATTGGGCCTTGACGGCCTTCCTTTTGATTATTAGTTATAGGTTTGGGTAGTATTGGTCTTTGTATACGACTTATGCGATTTAGTTTATCAGATAAAATCCATTCATTTGGTTGCATATTAGATGAGTGTGTTGAGCCAACTGATTTTACTATTGGGTTATCTGAGGAAGCCGAGCTGTTTTGTTCATAGCCAATACTTGATGATTTTTCTAATTCAGGATCACGAGTATCAATAATATCGACTATATTCTGAAAATACATTAATTTTTTTAATTTACCGTAACCTTAACAGATTTTATAATATTTAATTATCTTATTAATAATTTAATTCAAATTAAATTAAATATTAAATTATATTATATGTATTCTAAAATATTTGTTATATTCTCTTGTAATAATCATTTAATTATTTTAATTATTTCTTTTAATGTCATTGAAATATAAAAATATATAAATCTACAAAATTTAAAATATATTTAATAAAGAATATAAACTGTATTGTCATCTTCAATACTACAATGTATTGTAACCCCATTTTATAAAAAAACGACCCTTATCATTTTTTTTTTTACCAAATATTAAAAACTAATGATTAAATAACTCTGACTAAAAGTATATAAATTAAGAATTCAAAGGTATAGTTTAGTAGTGCTCAGGAAAAACTATTCAAAATTTGAAAGAATGAATTTATGTCATACAGGACAAAAAAGTTTGAAGTCTAAATTAGTGAAAAAATATAAGTCATACGATGACTATATCACGCAATATTAGAACCACTTTATAATTTAAATAATTTTACTAATAAAACCAAATGATTTTTTGATTCATATATAGTATAAACTCATTTATACAATTTACTAGGATAGTTCCAAAATACCATCAAATTATACAATAGATATTACACAGTTACATCAAAATATCTTGAGATTAATTTTCATCTTTTAATTTTACTATATACCTTTTCATTTAAAATATGCTCTGGTTGACTCAAATTGATTTGAAACATCTCAGGTAAATTCCAGTCTTTACTATTATCAGTTTTAGTAGCATCAATTTCTTTAATTTTTATCATCAGTCTTTCTATAATTTCTTCCTTGAGTTTTTGTAATCTAATGAGTGTTACCAGCTCATCTCGTTTATTTTGAGCTATTTCAGTGATAACTTTAATTTCATTTTGTATTTTCTCAACATTTCTAGTTAATTCTGTTTCACTTTTTCCACTTGACTGTACAATATTTTTTATCAACCTTTCTCTAGTATCATCCTTTAATAAAGATATATCATCGTCACAACGTAACTTTTTGGTTTTTGGTAAATCATTATCACTACTAGCTCCACTTAGTGCACTTAGTTCATCATGACTAGCTGCAGACCTTTTCCTAGCAATAATTGGTTCTTCAGTCTAAAAAAAAAATTCATAATCAATAACATGTATTTTTCATAAAATTTTATTTACATACTTGTTTAGGAGAAGGTGTTTCAATACTAACTTCACTACATATATCTTCTTCAGCATTGCATTTTTTTTCAAACTCTTCTTCTTCAGCTATTTTTAGTATATCTGCTGATTTAATATATTTATCATCTTCATCCGGTAATATCTCATTCATTTTTTCATTGGTATTTGAATCATTGGATTTGATTTCATTTAAAACATTTAATTCCCCGTTAGTTAAATTTACAGGTTTAACTAGATCGCTATGATTTTGTTCTTTGATATTGTCTTGGTCTGATATATCTACATCCTGACTCACTGGTTCTTTAGAATTGATCTCAATATCATCAACTTCCATAGCTTCATTAAATTCATTGTCTTTGCTAAGTGTACAAGAATTTTCTGTAACTTTATTATCTACTTCAGCAATGTCCTCTTTATTTTCTTCATTTTTTTCAATTACTGGCTCCTCTACATTAATTTTCTCAAGTAATTTTTCTTCTAAATCATCTTCTATAGTTTTTGTCTTTTTTGAATCATTGTTTTCATCTATTAGCTCAGAAGAATTATTTTTTTCCAGCATTTGTTCCTCTGGGTCATCTTTAATTAAATGTTCAAGCTCTAGATTATCACTAACTTCTTCACTATTTTCTGTTTTTTTTTCCAATAGCATAATTTTATCTGGTTCAGTTTCTGATGTTTCTTTTTCTGACTGAACTTCAGGACTACATATATTATCCAATTTTTCATCACTTACAGGCTCATCATTAATTAAAATTTGTCTGTCATTTTGATTTTTAATTTTCGCATCTTCTTCTATATTTTGTTCTATAGAATCAGATAGCTCATTTGTTTTTTCTTTATATTTTTCATTTGATATTCCATTTAATTTTTGGTGATTTTCACCATTAGTATTAACATTGTTTTTTGAATCTGATTTATTATGAGAGTGATTAATGTCAACAGACATTTCGCTGCTTGCACATTCATCAGCTGGAATTGGCATTCGACTTATTTGCATTTCGTTTTCTAATAATGAGAAACTGAAAAAATACATACATAGATGTGTTTAGTCTTTTAATATATATCACAATGCAGTTAATTAGACAATTTTAGGTTAGATCCCTCTAAAGTATGAATGGAAATTAACTTAAAAAGATTAAATTCTATTAGAAAGGACATATTTAAAAATAATTGTTCTTTTAAATAACTATAGTAAATAATTTATATTTTTAAAAAAAAAAAAATTATAATTTTTATAATTATAGATTTTTTCTGGGTACACTATGATTTTTTTAATACTAATAAAATCTAAATTATTAAAAAAAATTAGAATAACAACAAAGGAGTAAAACACTTGAAGTTATATTGAGCGAGAAATAAATTTATTGGTGACAACAATAGGTTTAAACAAATATTAGTCATTATGACAACTTTAAATACCTCTTAAAGCTTACTAAAATATAAATTTAAAATGAAAATTCTTAGCTAAATTATCACAACAATAATTGAGTTTACAAGATATAAATAAAAATAATATTAAGAAAAGTTATACAGCTCTTATCATAAAATGAATATTAATGAAGAACTATAATTTGGTTGCAGTACATTTGAAACATTGACAAATGATATACATACTCACAAGGGGTATAAAAATAAATTTTATTATATAACAACATTGGGGTAATGTTCATTCAATTAGAAAACTCTTAAGCAACCAATAGTAATGGTTAGAATAATCTAAAATCTTGAAAAAAATATGTATTAAACAGCCACTGTCATAGAAATTTAACATTAACAATTCAATCTCAAGTTAATGCGAAACTAAGTGTTATCATGGCACACTTATAGCTCTTAATGGGGATTGAAAGTTTCAATACATACCTAAAGTAGATATTATTATCATACTAAAGAACTGGTATGGAACGCAACTTTTGATGAGACAGCTAGAGCTTGAGTTTAGTAGATAATATTTCTGATGATCCAATTGAATTTAATACTCAGATATGCATACAACAGTTGGGCACACAGTTCGTTTACCTCTGCAGTTGCGGCGTATCTCGGTGGTGGCAAGGCGGTATGCGCGTTTTGTGACTTGTGTCCTACTTACACTACTACTAACACTACAACAGTTAGTCTACACGACTCCTCCACCGCCGTCGTCTCTGGACGCTGCTAGTATCGTCGTCACGGCCGCACTCACATACACCAACACCAATATAACACACGAAAACAACGAGAGACACACACACTAATTATCATATTTTCAGAATGAAGCAAGTTCAATTCGACAGTTAAAACGGCACACGCACAACGGAAGTGAACGCGTGGATACGTTGCGTTACCGAACCATCTAAACGGCTTTATCTCACGAGTACTCACCGAATGGCAACCGAACAACTGACGCTATCATCGGATAACAAAAACAACAATAATAATATCGTAGAGATAAGAACTAGTGGTAGGGATAGAGGGGAACAGAATGAGTCAACAACTTGACCGTGAATGTTAAGAATTATTTCTACTGCGAGAACGTGAAACGACACCCAAAGTTTATGTGAAACTCTGATGAGCCCTACGCGACCGAAGTGGACACGACGACAAAAACGTTGTGATTGGTCCGAGTTGTGGAATCGCGTATATGGTTCAGTGTCGAAATCGTAGGGACGATGGGGACTTCGGCAGCTACGGCGACGGTGGTCGACGTGCGGAACGGCTCAAGGCTACCGGTCGCCACCACTGCCGCCGGTCTAAGAGCAGGACTGCTAACATAACGGCCCATAAATACCGGGCAATCGACTCAATAAAACCGTGTCACTGTTCGATAAAATTACTGAAATGAGTATTGTGGTTTTTTTTTTGAAATCCTTTAAATTGTCATTTTAATTTTAATCTCTTCCGCACGATGAACTGTTGTGATCCTAATATTTTGGCGAATCTATAATAATATCCAGGTTTATTACCTGTTATTATTTAATTTGTATTTTAATGATCGTTGTTTTTTACATACGTAACATGGTATTAATATATTTGAAGGTTGACCTTTGCGCTATTTTGTACATATATACGCAATACACCAAAGAAAGCACATTAACGATAATAAACTCGTGTATTAGATAATAGGATATATCTATTATAGGAGGGGACTCTTGAATATTATTCGGACTTAATACTGTTAATCTACATAGCGAGTACTGCATTAACGGTGTCTCCTGCATTCACACAAATTTGACTAAAGGATGCATATTTTTAATTAAAAAATTAATATTCCTATTTTCTATTACACAGCTTCCCTCTAAAGCGCACTATATTCTCACGCAAAATATTATAATAATAAAATCAATTTTAACCATTAAAAAAATGTATATAATTCTAAACGGCTTATATATTTAATACATCAATAACTATTTCGTAAAATGTACCCTAATAATGAGAGTTATTTGAAAAGAAACTTAATTTTTTGACGATCGAAGCAAATTACTATTTGTGTATATATTATGCATAAAATGTATAATGTATGCATTCACATATTTTATAAATATATGTATGTACAAGTATGTTTGTCGAGTATGGACAAGGCCCAAGGGCAAAGCAAGGACATTGTCGGGACCGGGTCGCGCGCACATTTTTACCCAACATCGTATTGATGAGCATAGTATGGCAACAGCAGCAGCTGGCTATTAAGTGGCCTTGGAACTGATGCGGCGGCCACGGTGGACAAATATTTATACACATTGCACAGAATGGAGGTTGCACACTCAACACACGTTCGCCTATAAAAATATCACTCATTCGCGGCCAGTGATTTTCAAAAGATATCGACCCTCAGGTGGTAGTCTATTTATAGTTTTCTAGGGATCATCGTTTTTAGTAAATGGCGCACATACGTTTGACTTTAACAAGTCAAACGTACACTTCGCGCGAAAGCGTAAGATTCGAAGGACAGTGTGACTGGGGGGCGCAGGAGGCCTTCGTATTCATTCCCTTTCTTAAGTTAGAACTACTAAAACTTTTACTTACTCTTATCAAAGAAATCATCGACTAATCCTCTCATTGTGGTAACCTCGTTGTGTGATAACATCACGTTCCCGTATACGTAGTCCGTATAATATTTAAGCCTCTCCAAAAATTTAGAAAATTACATTATATTTCTATGTTATTAGGTATGACATATTTTTGTTTCAATACTTAGCACAGAAAGTATTTATTTATACTTATGTTTGTATATTTCCTAAGAGCTTTTTTAAAAAATAATTTTATTTTCGTCTATGAACCGATCTCGATTTTTATAAACTTGTGACAAATTAAAACAAATATCTCAAAATAATGATAATTACTATAACAAAATAACTAAAATAATAACGTGAGAAAAAATATTTGAAACGAGTTAAATATTCAAAAGCAAATTTGATGTCAAAAAAAATATTAAACAATATTTACATTGATATACGTAATTCACTATAAATAGTCATTGAAATTATAAGTTACATAACAAAGGGAGAGATCCAAGTAGCGCTTTTAAAATATGAAAAATAGAGTGTGCAAAATCAATTAATAACTTAGTGAATACATACGAAATTAAAAATGTCCAAATAGTTTATAAATTTATTTGTACGCAAACGTATAAAAGCATTAAACTTTGATGAAATAATCGTAAAATGTTTAATTTAAAAAAAATGATTATCAGTTCAAAATTCATATCATGAAGTAAAGCCTAACGCCAGTTCCGAAACGGTTATATCGGTTGGTGTAGCAAAAAAAGTTTAAAATCTACTTTGATTGCTTGGGATAATAGTCATACTATTTTTTATGAGATTAATTTAAATAAGATTTCAAAAATTTATAGCAGTCTTAATGCTTGATTTTCGAAGAGCTGAAAAATGTATGTATAGATACAAAAAGTTAGTATATTATTAAGTTTAAAAATATTTATGGCGTAAAATATATTCATCACATCTAAATGTAAAATTAAAAACATATGTATAAACATTTGAAGAAAATACGTTTTTGTTACTTTTTTCTCATATCATATTTATTTAAACGTTCAAAATACAAACAAGTATTTTGACACAAGTTTTTTTTTTTTTTTTGCAAAAGTGTTATCTCATTACTTATAAACAACAGAGTAACATTGGTCTTTATTGTTTGTTATTGTACTGTAGTCTTGAAAATTATTACGGTATTAATTATGAACAAAGAAAGTGACTCACTATATAGTACAACTTAAAAATAAAATAAATAATTTTTGTGATGTACAGTTATGGTGTATTTACGGGGGTACAGATTCCCCATGGACATAAAATCATAGAAGTGGGGAATTTTGAAAGGGTGAATCTTTCCACTAATCTACGTTCTAAAAGCTACCTGATCTCCCACATACAAATTAACTAAATACGCAACTGGAGTACGGATAAAAAATGCTTCATGCATAACTATTGCAAGAAGGTATCTAGTTAAGACATTCTATGTCTTGAACAATAGTTTACAATTAAAATACAGTTATCTAGCATAAATAGTAGGAATATTTTGAAACGTTGTATAAAAATGCATTTTGATTAATAGCAAATAAAAAAATTCTTCTCTTCCAAAAAAAAAAAAAAAAAAATTTGAATTCTTGCTTTTAATTTTATTTAAGTATGAGTTTAGTCTTTAAAATTTTCAGTGATATTTAACAATAAATATTTTTAATAGGGTTGAAATATTAACTGTTTAATCCGGAAAAACTTATTCAGAGAAAACTTGCTATGTTGGTCGTAATAAGCCAACATTTTATTATCAAAATTACAAAAAAATTCATTAAATTATTTATTCTAGTAAAGTTCCTTCCGTTTAAAAATGCTGAGTATAACACTATTATCATATGTACCACATATTATACTATATGTATTGATTTTAAATACTGACTGTTGTTAAGATACACTTCATATCATCAAAATCAGTATTTATACAAAAAATTAAGCAATTAAAAAATTAGCATAATTTTTTAAATGTCTACAAAATCATAATATTTTACATATATTTTAATATTTTATTATATAATTTAAAAACAAGTTCATTGATATTTATATTTTTATTTATCAAATAATAATAATAAATATTTATGAAAAAAAGGTATATTTTATGAATAAATATATTCCAACTTTTTCTATCGCTACCTAAGTAAATATTATTAATTCTTTTTACTACCCCTTCAAAATCGTAATTTCTGAATTATATTCTACACGCCATTTTCAACGTTTACAATTAAGATACTTATAATTCTGATTTTATCCACTAAAAATATTTTTTTAAAAATTTTAACAATCAGAGACACCCGGAGTAGACGATCCAGGAGGTGCAGCCATTGCAATTCTCTGGGATTTTCCATGTTACTAAAAAAAAACTAATACAATCCTCAATACGAAATCTTTTAATTTGAGTTTTTTTTTTATGTAAAATTAGTTCTGTAGCAACTGTTACTCATAGAAACTTAAAAGTCAGAAGTATTATTTGGGGTAAAGAAGTCGGTCTTGTAAGTTTTATGCATAGGGGAGGTAAAATGTATTGTCTGTTTATTTCTAGGCTCATTAAATTAGTGAATAATATTGATAATAAATAAATGCTCTAGTAAAGGAGATATTATGTAATAGGTTATTGATTGATATTAAACTGTAATTACTGGTATAGTAGACGCATACATAAATTTTTTGTTCGGGGTGGGGTTGGACAATTTTTAATTTAAATAAAAATGTATAATTAATTTTTTATTGTCATGATCTTTTTTTTTTGGTCCCTCTTAAGTATTACATAAATAAATACCATTTAAGTAAAAAGTTGGTTTGTCGTGCGATGAATTTCGAGAGGGTAAACTAGCCCATGTGGTATGGGAAATTGCTTCTAATTGCTTAAACTATTGACAATCATTTTTGCTCTCATCAGGAAACGTTTCTGAGGTCGTCCCAGCTAATAATTATTATTTTAAGGATGTTCAATTTTAAGTTCTCATACATATTCAAAATGAATACACGATTATAACTATTTTTCAGAGTTCAAACATTTAAGATTTGGGTTCGCTGAGTATCGAAGCTATTAAATTGTAGTCAGATATTTTAGACAAATGATCATAGTTTGAAAAATGATTTATTTCTATTGGCATGCGGAAATAAAAAACGATAAAAAATTATCTTTGGTCTCTGACAATTTTGGATATTATTACTTTTTCCTTGAAATCTTCGGGTATAATTGCGTTTTTATTAAAATACTAGACGATAGCTGAACCCATTTGAGTATACGACTTTCATACGACTTTGAGTAAGAATTTTCTTAATCAAAAACGTATAAATTACGAAGATCCAAAGTAACGAAATTAGGCAGAATCTAAAAGTTAAAAATTGTTTAATCCTTTATACGAATAAATGTACATTTCAAGGCATTTTAGCGTTTTTTTTATAGTTAGTTTAAACAACGTAAGGGTCATAGGACACTAGTGAAAAATTGTTTCGTTATAATATTCGACACATTATATAGGTGAAGTCCAATGTGCACCTAATAAAACGATCAGAGTCGCCGTCCTATTGGTCGATTCCAAGGTCTCAAAGTCAAAAGGTTCTGCCTGTAGCCGAGTTACATGTGTTGTGCGCGATTGAACACTACAAAAGAAAATTTACTTGCGCGGAAACGATTACGAAATGCCAAAAGACGACGCTTTGGGTATGGCCTTCGTCGAGTAACCTCGAAAATGATTATTTTAGCTCGGCCAGTGTCATGTAGTGCGTTTTTACTATGCAACTTTCAATAAAATGCATTGTGTCAAACGATATCATTTATTAAACTCGGTGTACACGCGGCACGGTGATAAGTGTCTACAAATACTTCAACTGCGCGTTCGAATTTAGGTAATGGGCCAAAAACAAATTAATTGAAAACAGGAGCCTATTTCCAACAATGACGATAACAATTAAATATAACCGTGTTTTTCACCCGTATCGTAATGTACAGTGCGAATTAAAAAAGTGAATTTATAAACGATCGCAATAATACCAATATAATAGTTGTCAAACGGAACACTTACACATTATTGTGTCAAATTTACATGTGATGTTTACAAATACAGTAAACATATTCGAAAATCATTCATAACTTGTACGGAAATATTTAATAGAAGTGTTTAATAGCAGCGCTTAACAAAAGCTTGTAAGATTATAGACTTTCTAAATTTAATTAAGTTTTCAATCAAAATGTATAACATGTCGTTTTCGCGACGAGACCACTACTCTTATGAATTATTACTTAAAAATGAATTACATAAAATTTTTTAATAACACTGCTGAAAACAATGTTTCTAATTATTTTTATTGATAACAAAACGGATATTATTTATTATAATTTATGACACTGTGAAATACTTTGTACTGCTATAAAGATAAAATATAATAAAAGCATTAAGTAGTGCAAAATAATTTATTCGTATCTAATAATATCTATTATTAAGATTTATCACCATATTTTTAAAAAATGTATCATTTATACATTTTTTTTAGGAAAAGCTAATCGTAATTAATTGTTTCGAAAATTATTTCTGCACGGGTATGACAACATTACCTTTTTTATTTAATTGTAAAAACATTTATGAGACATAATTGTAATGTTGATTTCTATTCTCGAATCTTCCCATTACATCATAATCTCTGTAAACTTTGAGTTGTATAATTTTTTATTCGCATACAATTTAGGCAATATCATTTTACGTTCTTCGATTTGCATTCGTATTGTACACTTAATATATTATATCAATTTTTTTTAGCGATTATTTTCTTTAACTTTTACTTATGGAAGATTTTTAATGAATTTATTTATTTGTACGTTTCACACTTACATTAATATATAATTAATATTTGACGTAGTTCAAATTTACAAGTCGAGTGAATTTATTTCTATTTAAACTAAAAATGCAGAGATATGACTGTGACCTATTATTTATGTGAACATATTATCACGTTTTTTTGGATGCATTCTAACGTAATGTTGTCACATGTTTTCGTAAACTTCTGACTCTACAGTACTTCTAAATCTATAGTTTTTTTTACGTTATGTATTTCATACACAAGAAATAATTGTCAAATGAGGTCGGTAAAATCAGTTATGAACAAATAGTGTCAAAAACAAAATAAGATAATAAAATGATAACAAATTAAATGGACTAGAGTATCCCAATATATATGTTTCTTATGCTCGTAATAAACAAATAGAACACTCCTTTAAAATACTTAATAGTAAACCGCAATAAGTTAGTACTTAGATTGTATGAAAGAATAATTTGTCAATAAAGTGATTTTTATAATCTGGAGATTTAGTTTTCGATTGAAATTTCAATAACAAATGCAACTTTTAACATTGAAAATTTTATCAAGTTTTATTTAATTAAACCAGCACACAGAAACAAAATATAACGATTTTATTAACACAATAGACAGTAATTTTTTTTTTATGTTCCTATAAGCTCTCATATTTAAGTTGAATTTAGTTTATTAAATCATTGTTTATCTTTTAGTAATGTAATCCCTAACTTTGATACTTTCATGATAATATAATGCAATTAAAATATCAACTCTTAAATATTGTCATTTTTTAATGATTACTTACTTTTTATAAACATTTTTGTTAAATTTCGTTTATAATTGTAAATTAATTTCAATTTTCCGTTAATTTTATAAAATAATAGTAGCAATGACCTAAAACGTTCCCTCGTACTTTTGAATACTGATACCATTTTAATTTTCCATATATCTTACCTAAAAGTGCCTATTAGTTAAAAAACAAAGGCACTTTCAGTACATTTTTTCTTATGCGAAACTTGATACAATTGTACCATATAGTGGTATTCTTATTTCTATAAATTTATAGAATTGATTTTATTTTTATTCTTAGAAATGTAATTTTTTAAATGTATTGAACAAACATAAAACTTCCCGTAGTTAATAATCGAAAATAAGACTGGAGATAAACTGGATAATATTATTTGTTCAGACATATATTACTAAGGGAAATTGGTACTTAACACTTTCAGTGGTGCAATGTAACCCAAGTACTAGTTACACACTAGTTGCACGATATCAATAGTGTAATATTAAATTGAAAACATATTTTTTTGATGAATAACTACCTGTTTTTTTTTGCTATTTTATCATGGTTGTCTGTTGCTGTATTCATTGTTGTTGACACAACATTTTCTTCGATTGTCTGAGGCTGCACCGAATGAATAATTTTGCTTTTGGTAACAGGCACTGCGTGTCCAGCATTTCGACTTTCACGGAGTAACAAATCTAATGAGTTGCCAATTCTTCGCACACAAGTTTCTCCATTTGAACTTTTTATGGTCGATGATGTGTTTGTGGTAGCAGTTACTTCGGCAGTGGTTTGCTGTTTTTCATTGAGCATATATTCCCGTATTTTATCCTTAATGAGTGATGTTACACAAACACCGCCATCTCCAATTGCTAGTTCACTAAGTCTTAACCATCCTGGTTCCGCTGACTCGGACATAGCTTTAAAAATATGAACATTTTAATATTTTATGAAATATATATATGTATATTAATATAATTTATATTATATGCATGTAAATTTATACATTACTTTTTAATTTATTATACTTCATTAGAACTGAAGTATTAGCATGATTTTACACATAAATTTATATTGGATAAAAAGTACGAATGGGCTAACATTTTAATAATTTACATATTTAGTAAAACAAAAAAGTATATTTATTTAAAGTACTAAACGATAGTTATATTTTTTATATATAAATTGATTGGTATGTTTGTGCGAAATTCAAGGGTATAATATAGACATAAAATATTTATAAGATATCATTTTTTTTATTATTATTATTATTGAGAGTGATACATTAATCACCTAATCATTCAAGTTTTAAACTTAACGCATTTACTTACACATTTCTATTTAATAATACTTTTTAACGAATTAGTAAAACTTCTGATGGTAATAAAAAAACTAATTCCAGATTTGAAATTAAATTGTAAAATTTGATTTAGGTCTATTTATTTTCATTCCAAACGACTAGTTTATTCATTTCAATCTTGCGAATTAATTTTATTAATATAAGCGTAGAACATTAAATATTGAATTATAAGGAAATTTACTTCAGATTTAATGTTTAACGTGTGCAAATTGTTAAAACTATATTTTAAATAGTTGTACAGTTATAATATTTACTGAAATACTAAATTAACTTAACGACTGTGAAATAAATACCGAGTTTCTAAAAAAAATGAGTGTTCACTGTTATCAACAAACGTGTTATCAACTTTTCTACCCGAAACATGGAGCGTTGAGACATTCATTGGGGTCATGGGTAGTACACATCAACACACATTGAATGGACATTGTAAAATACAAATATTGTGCAACATCAAAATAATTAGTAACCATAATTTACGGTCAATGATCACTATCGTTGTATTAATCCTGTTTAATGTATATATTTTAAAAAGGTTACGAATCATGTAAAGATTACTACTTACCCTTAATAATAAAAAACCGTGTGCACGTAACTGGAGAAAAACTTTTGCTTTACCAATAAAACGAACGACGGTAGCCAATAGCGATCAACTGGATAAAAAGCGGATCGAATACAGAAGAGCAACGTAACGCACGTCTCTGCTGATAGATGTCTGGTGACCAGCGACGCTTGTGGAGCTGGGCACGACCCCACAAGTACATCTTTCACCCTTTATACGCTTTCGGGCGAGGATAGTGTTCACCACCGAAGGGACACACTGTCAAGGACGGCAGTTTTGGCCAATGGCGAACAGTTGTCGACGCGCTTGTTTTGTATAACCTTGCCGCGATCGATTGAGTTAGACAACGTGATGAGAGCGCACCACCGCTGTCTATATTCCGTACCGAGTTGTTAGCAAATACACCAGTAGATATCGCCATTGGTCACAATCGTATCAAAATATTCTCATAATTGAACGGTTTATGAAATGAATCGTAAAACCATTATTTGAAAAGAAATATTCTCTGTAAAATAACCTATTTATAATATTATATGAATGTTGGTAGGTATCAGTGGCAGTATAATGGCAGATGACAGGGGGATTTACCCCTTCATTAATATACCCTATTTGACACTTTTGCATAATTTTGATCACATTGGAAACTTAATAAGAAGGAAGCCGTTTATACATTAGTCCACAATAAAATCCTGATAAAGTTTATACAAATAAAAAAATTCTGAGATATAAGATTTCATCGCCTACGAATTTTTTTATCAAAAAGGTTTTTCATTTTTTCGGGAGCAAAATCATTTAACAGCCGTTAGTAGGTATTTCTATTAAACCAATGACTATACAAAGTTAAAAATAAAATTTTATACAATTTATAAGAATATTTAGTGTGGAAAATATAATGAGTCATAATATTAACGATTAGTCTACTAAATGTTCTAAAAAACATTAAAAGATGTCCGTAAAAACTTATAAAATTGATTTATAATAATGGTTTAAAACAAAAAAATTATTTTGATTTTTTGTATGCATCGATTTATTTTTGTATTGAAAATATTATTAGTAGTTCAAAAACGATTTTTAATTTTAAAAATAACTTGTTTTAAACCAATATTTTAATTAGCGTGGTTAGAACAAAATATTTGGGTTGTCTAACTTAACTTTTTTTCTTTTTGGAAAAAATTCTGTATAAAAGTACAGGTAGTTTTTATAATTTTTGGAGACTAAACTGTTCAGATTGCGCATATAAATATTTTTATACATAATTCAAAAAAATTAATACATTTGAAATAATTTTCGTCGTTTTGACAAACATTCATATTTTACCTAATTTTTAAAAAAAGAAATAATTTTTGCATAAATACACTTTTAAAAGCATTAAAACAACCCAAGAACGACAAAAATTCTTTAAACAAAACGCAAATAATGTCAAATATGTATTATTTTTTAATATTCCATTATATAAGTCGAAATTTGTACTTGGAAACACCGTCTAAGATAATCCTAAAAAAAGATTCAATGTGCAGTGATATTTGAGCTCTATTAATTAACTATAATTATACCTATTCTTTGTTTATGAATAAATTATTCAACGTAAATTTTATCATAGTTATTACCATCATTACTACTTGGGGTCGGCCACCCCTAATATATTAAAATTTATAGTTATCTATCTGTTGGGATTACTATTTATGAATAAATAAAGTGATACATACATAAATTAAAGTAGTAATAGTGTTTCATAAAAAGTTAAAAATAAATTTTTTATTTAATTTTGACGGCTGATTTCACTTAGTAAAACAATCGTTAAATCAAATTATTAATCATATAAATCACTTTAAAAGCTTTAATTTGAAATACTTCAGGTTTCGCACGTTTTCGGTTGGATAAAATAAATTTTTTTTTTAGCTTAGTATAATTCCGATTTAATATAATGGCTAAATAAACATTTAACTATTATACTCATAAATATCTAGTATATAAACTAAAAGATAACATCAATATCTTATCAACTATTTGTAATAAAATTCTTCATCTAATGTTTAAAGTTAAATAATTTTTTCTATAAAAATTAAGACTGTCCAATAGGTCCTTAATCCATAAAAAATCTGTTTCTGATCATTTATTTTTGGAGTGAGTGTTGTAATTATTGGCTCTTCTTAGTTGAATCATAACGGGTAACCAGGAGACAAAATACTTTATCTTCAATGATGGAACGTCTTTGTCCACGACGTAAAGTACAGAAGATATCAACGAAACAAAATTTTCTGAAACGTTCACACCTAATTGACTCGCAGCAACGTTTCAATGTCTGATGCCAAATTGTAAGACAGAACTCTTGCGTTATGTTAAATCAATTTACAACTAGTCTGTAGCTTACAATAGTCCAATTTATAAACAACAACATCCGATTTCTTATCAATATGATGTCCAATAGTAGGCGGAATTTAATAGTCATCAGTGGCCAAACTATCTCCATGTTATGAGTAACAATGAACATCATTTGGTTTTTCTCTGCCTTCAGATGCCATACCTAATAAAGTANGAAGTATAGAAGATATCAACGAATCAAAATTTTCTGAAACGTTCACACCTAATTGACTCGCAGCAACCGATTTGACATCAATGTCTGATGCCAAATTGTAAGACAGAACTCTTGCGTTATGTTAAATCAATTTACAACTAGTCTGTAGCTTACAATAGTCCAATTTATAAACAACAACATCCGATTTCTTATCAATATGATGTCCAATAGTAGGCGGAATTTAATAGTCATCAGTGGCCAAACTATCTCCATGTTATGAGTAACAATGAACATCATTTGGTTTTTCTCTGCCTTCAGATGCCATACCTAATAAAGTAAAATCATTTACATTGATATATCTAACGACAGTAGAACTATCACTAGATTCCCGAAATGTGCTAAACAGTACGCGGTGATTCTTTTCAATTTTATCAAAAGTTTTAAATAAAGTTATTCAATATTGTATAATTTTGAGCATACTGGTTTGAATACCATAAGTAAAATTTGAACTACGAGACACAGGATAATGATAAACTTATACTCGAATTATGAAGAAGCGTTTAAACTTTAAAAATATACTATTTATGAAACGAGAAATTTAACTTAAAATTGTTCAAAACTTATTTATGTTAAATTAATCAGGAGAAAATATAATTTTTATGTTATTTTTTTTGGATTTTGTATGGATTATAATATATAAGATTCATTTTTAACATTATGATTTCAACTTCGATGTTTATGCGTATAAATATTTGTAAAAATGCAGTTTTTTATTTTGACTTAATAATCTAAAATCTTTTATGCCAAAAATGGCGAAATTATAACTACAGTAACAATTTAAAGTAATGACTTGAGGTAAGGTGCGGGTGTTGTCATTTTTATCGCTAGACATTTCTCGGCTGTACGTCTCCCAATTACGTATAATAATGATAGTAACAACCAAAATGATGATTCTAAAAGTTGTTGAAGTTAAAAAGAAGAAAAATTTTTTTTTTTTAAAAATCGTGTATTTTTTCTTTACTTTAGTAACTAAACTCATAAAGTAGGTCCATTTTTTGATCCTTTTTTACTATGATTTTGGTTAAATTATCAAAAACAAATAAATAGAAAGATTATTTTCTCTAACACAAAAGATAAAATTTTGCGTAAATCCATATATTTTTAAAAAAGTTATAACTATTTTAAAATGCGAAAAAAATTCATAATTTGCTTCTTTTCATGATGGAAATTTTTCGTATTATATTCTTATTCAAATTATTTAAAAAGATATTTTTTTTTCATTTTAAAACCAATGTCTTAAGCTATATAATAATTGAGTTCTTTTAATGTATTGATCAGCAAAATCGGTCCGGTGAGTTGGAATTTTTCATAGATAATAAACAAACAAAAACACAATTTATGGTAAAATTATGATTTAGTTTCTTTTTGTAACTGGAAAATAACATATATTTTTTTGTATATGAGGAGTGATTTTACTTTTTTGAACATGATTTATTTTATGTACGAATGAGATATTACTGTTGCAATGGCTATCATAATCCTTCTTTTTTATTTTTAGTATTAGCTTAGCATGATAGTATGAAAAATTTATCTTTAAAGTACTTTCATAAAAAGTAATTTTTTTAAACTTTATCAAAAATATATTAGGATTTCTAGGAAGTCAGTATTGTTTTGATCTTCGTAGTAGCTTATCTAGCTTAGCTTCCATACTTAAGTTCAAAAACAAACAGAATGGCGCTATGTTACAAAATTAAATCACTCGAATTTTTCTTTAGAATTTTTTTTTATAACCTAAGAGTAATTTTAGATTTTTCAATTGTAGAAATTCTTTATATTTAATTAAACTCAACTACTCAAAGGTTTAAGGAAAAATTAAGGATTAACGTTAAAATAGTCGAATGCCAATATTTTTATATCATTGACATAATTATTTTTTATACAATTAAAACTTTTTATAAATAAAATTCATGCTATATGCATAAATTTTATATAAATAAAAATATACAGTCTAGTTTATTATTGGCTTTTCCCCAAATATTATGAAAACGATTAATTAAAATTATGTCGATTCATTTAAACAATAATAATCATATCTCAACAATTAACATATATTTTTTTAAAGAGTTGATCACATAATGGGATTATTTGTTTTCTATTTTAAATCAATTTTCTGAAATACTTAAGTATTTAACAAAAACTATTAACATTTTTATAGAACCAATACCGACCGAGATTTAATTCCATTTTTTAAAATTAATTAGATTGTTAATCCTAGATGTTCTTATTTAAAATAATAAAAAAATATATATTTTATTTGATATTAAAATTTGTAGAAAATAAAAAACTTTTAATTTTGAGCGATAGTAGGTAATAGATTGCGGTTATTTAAACATCTACGAGTACAATACTTATGGTGAATTATTTACTGATTTAGTTATTTATTACAAAACTATTGCTATATATTCGAACAAATCAGATTTCTTTAAAAATACACATGCATTTTTCAATAGTAGTTGGAGAATGTAATTGGTCTTTTAACTCTATTGCCGTTTTATAATTGAATAGACTCGTTCACTTCCTCGTACGGATTTATAATTATTAAGTTGCCTACACAAAACTCCTTATCCTGTCTATGCTAACTCTAAATTGATCTAAAACAATATTTAAGCATATTATTATAAATATTGTGTCCCTAAAAAATCACTTCATTTAGTATTTTGGTTTTCATTCATATAAACACTAAAAGTCTAACGAATGTAAAGCGCATATTAAAAATAAATCAACTTAAATAGTGTATACACAACATTTATATAATGTTTTTATAAATAATTTTTATAAAACAACTTATTGTTATTATTAAAATTTAGAAAATGACTCATTAGACATTGAATACACCGAATCTACCGATAAACAAGATATAAAATAACACGCATATAATTATTTTTTTAAAATTAAATCAATTTTTTATTATAATTTAACAATACATTTACGCGAGGAAAAAAACTCCAATAAATTATATCTATGTATTCATATTATGAATTATGGACTAACTATTGTTTGTTTAAATTGTGGTTAAACAGACTAAACGTTTTTTGTGTTGAATAAAAATGACTGCAATTTCAATTTACGTACAAAGTTTTTTTTTTCATTGTATTTATAATGTAATAAAATGTAACGGAATGTAAATCGACCGACGGTTAACCATTTAATAATAAAATAAAAGGAATGTGCAAGTGTATCGTATCAAAACATAAACGTTATTGTAGACTATAAAATACGAACATTTACACTAGTACTAGTTAGTTACTATTATGTGAATTAGTATAATTAACACCACGAATAATTATTCCCCTATATATTAAAATTTGGTTTTTTTCTTATAGTCATCTGCTAATTTACACCAAGAAATATCGTATTATAGTCTTAATGATAAACAGAGAGACCTCACAGTGTTTCGATTAGGAATTTTAATAACAATTAATTATTTGTATAACGTATGAACATAATAAATGAATTTATCAATTAGAAACTATCAATCTGTTTTTTATTGTTCTCGTAACTTTTGTTTACAAAATTTACACGATTTACTTTTAGTATTGAACACACAAAATATTTGTGTGTTCAATATTAAAAATAAATGTGTAAATATGTAAAATATTTGATAAATGATCGAAATATTTTATATTTGTTTGTAAAATAATTCATTTGTAGTGGTTCTTGTTAATATATCCTATTTATTAATTCGATCATGAATGATTATTGACTGTAAATACGATATTTTTTTTGACGAATGTATGAAAATGTTTATAAAAATTTTAATAAATAATTTCTTTATATTTTACTGACCGTATATAGTTAAAATAAGATAAAAGTTTTAAAACAATAATATCAAGTTACTTATTCACTACAATTATTAATTGTTTATATTTATTTATTAAATAAAGTATGAGGTTGTGTTAGGGCGATACATCTAAAACATAGTAAAACATTAACTTGGATATTGTAAATACTTCTCCTATTTAAGTTAGGTTATTTAGCTCTAATTTTTGTACTCTATAGGTCTAAAGTGTATATTTGTAGATAGTAACCTGATTAAATAAACTACTTCAAACAGAGGTGCTATTACAATACTTGAAACTCTAACTATTAAAAAGGCTACCTTAATATTATTTTGGTCATAAGGAAAAGGGATTCAAGGCAACTAAATTTTTTTTTAACAAAGTTTTAGCTTACATTGTACTGCAAATTTTGATCTGAGTAGCATAATATTGAAGTTATTAATTATCAAATCACTAACAATCAAAATAAATAAAAGTTTACCTTTAAAGGTATTATAATTTAATTTTGACATATTTTCAAGTTGTTAAATTGCAATGATTAAAACATTCTTCGAATCTTTTTTTTTCCTAGGGGCAAAGATATATTACCATATTGTACTTATTAACCATTTAAATGAATTTTATCAATTCTTGAAAAAAAAAAATTCGATTTATATTCTTTTAATTATAGAATATTTAAGTAGTATATTTAATATACAGCTTATATTTACATGAAATTAAATCATTTCAATATTTAATGTAAATAATTCTCAAGAAAAAATAAAACTTGTGTCCTTTTTCGTATGAAATGTCCACATATAGTCGATGAACAATATTTTAATTTTGTGGGACATTCATTACTATTAAATAAATAAATTAGTGCACTTAATAGAGTAAAATTTTTGTGCAGTGTACCCTAAAACATATATATCACGTATTTTTAACAATGATACATTATTGTATAAGGAAGTGATAGATGGAACAATTTTTCCTTTTGGACTATGAATATTTTAATATTATGATATATACACTCTCGATTTTTATCTACACTTTATGTGCTATTACCCTTAATGCAGTTCTAGTATACAATGAATAAAATAAATTGTTACTTGATTATTGTATTATTGTACATAGATTTTTTTACTATTTAATTTATTTTAACTAAAATACCAGGATAAATAATTTATTATTATACTTTTGCTATTCATTATCCACTTTTGTTTTAGAAATTATAATCAATCTCTTTGAAAAAATCCAAACACTGTCCTATATCTCTGAGTCATAAAAGCCTACAAGATTTTTCTTTCAAATTAATCATTTTGCTTTTTTTTTTTTCCTTTAGATTCATTTATAAAATAAAGCGTTCTACACGACGCGTCGTAATAGGTTCCAAATGAATCTTTCAAATGAAAGCTTCTAGACGTGTTATCAAATTCTTCACTCGGCTAATCTCGAAGTTAGTTGAACAATTTAAAAACAATATAAATTAGTTATAATTGTAAGAAAAGCTTTGGCAGCCTATTTATATAAACAGTGTTATTCCTTCGAAAACCAAAAAGACAGACGTTTTTCTCTAGACACAATTTTTATTGAAATTACATTAAAAATAATTAGAAGGCCTTTTCAATTGTGCCTGTTGACTTTTATCAGGAATTTAACCGCTGCAGTTGTTTTCTAAACGTATGAATAATAGTATACAAATTGGTACTTTGGGGACTCGGAGACTAAGAGACTCAACGGTGCTTATAGCACACCTAATCCGATGACAAAACCAACTCGTGCATAAATCATGAAAAACCTGAAAAAGTAACAAGAAACGTAGAGACGTTTATACAGTAATCAAAAATAAAATCCAAAATCGTAATCGTTTGTCACGACAAATTTCCCTGGGGAATAATGAAGAATTCACTGCCTCTGCGGAGCATGACCACATTAACTACGTGTTGTTGGCCCGCGCGAAATGTCATCGATGGTCATTCTCGTGTAGGCCAACAGCATATTCCCCACCATCGCTGTCTTTCGCGGACGTCATTGCTGCTACCAGAATAAGTTGCCCAGACGACAATAGTTTATTTTCTAACGAGCGCCGGCAATACAAGACGAAATCGCGGCCAGCGGCTGTCGACGTGAAGTGGCACCGTTACATGCGTACACTGCGGCGGCAGCACGAAAAACGGTAGGCGCGTGCCGCTGTTGGCTAATGTGGCCGACGTGTGCTTGACGTTCGGCGACAAGACCATACGCCGTCGAGTGCTGTCCGTACGGCCGCTCGCATCACTCGCGTTTTTAAACGGTTTGACGCGCCGCGGCCACCAGCCCGCAGCCACCCTCCGGCGTCAACGGCGACGATCACGACCGGTGGTGACCGCGGACGCCACTCGCGCGCCGTAACCACCGGCGAGCGTTTACCGAAGACGATCCGCCGCCACATGAAAAGCCGAACGTGTCCGTTTTCGACCATGTCCCTGCACTAGACGAGATTCGTGCTGGCGGCTCAATTGGCGCTCTAAAAATAATAAATATATTCATTAACAATTTTAAGATATTTCTTACATAGCCATGTCTGGGTGAGTACTTATTTTTAGATACATTTTTTATTACTATATTTTGAGGATTCGATAAGAATTCATTTATCTCTGATGATACAATTTTTTCCAACGATAAAAATCTGAGGTGTTTGTAATGAGATAAATACACTAACTAGACAACACCAGCCTATTATTCTCTCATCATTGTATACCACACGTGATGGTACAGATAATCACACTGTGGTACCTAAGTTTATTTTTATATTTTTAATTATAATCATGTTGCGCGCATTGGCAAACTATTTCGTTCTCTCTTTTCTCCAAATGAATTAATAAAAATATAGTAGATACGCATTTATAATAAATATAGAACTGGATTAAAGGGAATTATTTTTATAATTTTGAAAATACGTGCAATTTATATACATAATTTTTTTGAAATGAAAATGAAGTATGACTTATCGTGTAGTTAAGTGTTGATGTTTTCGACTAATAGTAGATACAGATGACAAAATTAATGAAAACTACTGTTTACTATGTAGTATCCGGTTGGGTTGGTAACCCGATTAATGGAATATCAAAGCCAAAAACATAATATTTATCTAGTATATAATATTTGTGGTTGGGATTTATACTCCATTTCGTGAACGAAAATTCGCAGGAAACGACAACGCCAAAGTCAACAATACATCTTTTAGCGATTTTGAAGGTGTAACACTACGAGATTTGCTACCGATGGCTACGACTAGTCACGAAATATTTTATGTATACAGCTCGTAACTGTATCGAAAACAACGTTATAGAATTTATTATTCAACCGAAAGCATTTCAATGAAATTAATATAAATACAAATGTATTAGAGTAAAATTAAACATCGAAAGTATTTCATTAGAATTATACACAAAAGATTTCTGTCAATAATCAAGTACAAGGTATAATTTCCAACCATTAAAACTTCAAGTCACATGCAATCCTGGCCTTAGATATAATTACTGTTGTTGGTCGTTTCTAATGCCTTTCAATGTGCTTGGTTATTGTAAAGTGATTACTTTACCTTACCAATTTAATAACGAATTTTTAATTCTGTCAATATTAACATAGTAATTTAAAATTTAATCATTAATTTGAAAACAGAAGAAGTCTTCGTGACTCAGACCTGGAAGTATTTGTTCTAATTATACAATAAAATTCATCGAGTAATAAATTTAGTTAATTAAAATTATAAATAGCTATTTTTTAAGCAAACCGAGTATCATCTTATTTGCTACGTTCTTGATGAAATTTTAGTTGAACGAAAGCAAGTCTCAATTAATATATATATATATATATATATATATATATAAGTGTTTGTTTTAAAAATAAACGCTCGTGTTTACCAACACTACTGTGTTAAAGTTTATTTCATAAATTATAAAAAAGTTATAATAATAATAGAAATTATAAATTAAATGCAAAAAAATAATTTCGAAGTTTTGGAAATAAATAACTTTTATTAATAAATGAAAACTCGAACATTACAGGAGATTTATATAAAATATTAAAAGGTATAATGGGGTCAGAGGTAAATAGTTTGATATCTCGAGTGTTCTCCCTCTTATTTTAACCTACGGATGTACATATTTGTTACTTGAATTCGTGTTAGCCAAAATAGTCGGTTAATTTAATTACTAGTCAAGGTTTCTATAGAAAAAAACAAACTCTTATATTTTCGCAATACGAAAAAAAACATCTAATAGTAAACTATTATTTTAGTTAAATAATTAATATTCCATCGATACAATTTCAATGTTTATAATGACACTTAAGATTATCATCTTATATTATTATAATAAAATGTAAATTTTTCATTACTCTTAAAAAACTTTTAATGTAACTGTAATGGACAACATATTTTTTGTAGAAATACGCTACTGGGTAATCTCTAACCAAGTGTTTTGACTTCATAATTGATTTTATCAATTTATTTAAATAAACTTTATCCTACATTTTTGTAAGCCAACGTTGTACGTTTGTAGAAAATGACAAAATGATTATAATTTAAAATAGGAAAATCATTATAACTACTCTCTATTTATTAAAGCTAAAAAATTTCAAAAAAAAATTGTAAGCCAATAAGTTGAAAAACTTTAATGTTTATACCTAAAATATCGACTATTTACTGCAATCTATAGACAAATCCGTCCAACCAGAAAATTCATTTAACAAAGAATGATGTTTACATCATACAGCTGGAGCCCTTTATCGTGTTATCTTATAAAAATGTTTTTCTTCATATTTTATCTACTGTGCTATATTTTTTATTTCAGAAATCAATCTAAAAGATTTTTATTTTTATATATATTACTTTTAATATACTGTTTAATATTGCAAAAATATTTTTGTACATATTAATTGTTTACCTACCTCTGTTTAAATGTGAACAGATTATTCAGATAATTTATTTTCTCAAAGAGAAGTACGTCATGAATAATCAGTTTATACTTGATTGCTTCTGCTCGATTCTTGAGCTTAATGAATTTTCTCAGCGCAGAAAAATAATTAAAATGAGCCAGCCAATTGTATGAAAATATAAGTTAAATGGTCTACATTTTCAATGAATTCATAATTTTAAGTTAAAAAAACATCGACATAAATTTTTTTTTTTTTAAACTAAAAAAATTAATATTATTGATGCAACCTAAACTAGTATAAATTGAAGTTTAATTATTTATCACGTAAATGATAATTATCATTTCAATAATGACAAAATCGGTTAAACTTAATTTTTGATGACAAATAAGTTTTTTTTAGTACTTTTGTGGACATTCAATTTATTTTATTTGCCATTGAATTATTAAATATTTGAAAAAAAAAGAAAAATATTTATAAATTAGACTCCACATAAAATTGGGCCGTCCTTATACATAAACGATTCCAGTAGAAGTATAATAAGTTTTGGTACTAAAAATATTACTTCGGAATAATAAAAATTGATTTCAAAATTGTTATGCGTACTCATAATACGATATCCGAATAAAAACTATACACATGCATTTAGAAACAAAACACCTCATAAAGCAGTCGAAAACCAACGGATCAGTTATCAGCTCTGGAATAGTAAAAAAATTGTCTGTTCATTGTAAATCATTTTTCCAAAGTAATGTTGCTGAGCTTTTTCATAAAAAAAAAATAATAAAATTGGAGCAAAATTTTCTTTGCTTTATTATATAATAAGATCTTATAATCACAAATAAGAATGAATGTCTTACTTCTATTATTGTACTCATGAATATTTAATAAGTCAAGAAATTTTAAAATTATGTAGAACTTTAGAGACATTTAAAAATTTTATTAAAAAATAATTCAATATAATACTTTGAGTTATTAATATAACTTTTGTAGGTACACTTAATTAGCATCATTTATTTTAAAGTGTAAGAAGTGTTTCTATGGTTGTCGTAAATGATTTTTTCAACAGGACTGAATGAAAAGTTATGTGATTTCACACAAGTTTGATAAGCCCAACAATTTCAATAGTGTTATTGTTTTCTTCAATATGAATATATAACGCATCCTTCCGGTAAATTAATTTGATAAATAAAAAACAGAAATATAAACATTGAACTCCGTAAAGTTATTGGAACTCTCTGAGAGGGCCTTTTGAAAAATTTATTACAAAGGTATTACTTTTTGACTACTCTTTGTTTGAATGTATTGATATAAATGCAATTTTCTCTGTAGCAGCCGCATAGTCATTTTAAAGAGTGACTTGAGCTGAATAATAAATACTTTAGATGGAAGTATAATATTACACCATTTTTAGTATGAAATAAAAGTATCTTATGGTCATGTACCATAGACAAAGTAGCCTGATATAGTACGAATTGTAAATACCTTTGTATAAATTTAGCCTAACACAACAATGCCGTTCCTAAGTTTCCCCATTACGTAAAACGACTGTTAAAATAAACATATATATTTGAAATTTAAAAATTGCCAAACTACCACCACAAAGTTTCTTTAACAGCGAATATCAACGATCATTGATTAACAATGTTTGATAACGCAAGAGTGACAGTTAATTTAATTTTGTAAATTTTTATGGTGTCACAATCATTATTTTTTGTAAGTCAATAAGGTTACACTGACAAAATAATAATACCTTCAGAGATATTTTGCTAATTTTTAAGGTTCAGGAAGATAACAGAGTTTAGATAAAATATTGTGATATAACAAACTTCAATTCTTATTATAGATGATTTTTATGGATAGCTTTTAAAAAAAATGTTAGTTATAACTTTATTTTTCAAAAACCTGTAGGCTAAAACATTCCTTAAAAAAAAAGACATTTTATGAAATATGAAAAGTTACTAGGCTTTTTTGTTACTTTTTTATATAATGTATAAAAAAGAATCTATCAAAGGCATTTCTATTTTACTCAGTAAAAACTGGAGTAATGGTATTAGATGACATCATCTTGAAAAGTACACCTTGTTATTGAACAAAATATGAAAATTAATTCAAAGTGTTAAATTTAATTAAATTGTAGTTATTCACATCTGTATTAGTCAATCCTTATGAAGTTTGACGCCTTAATAGAATATTAATGTGAGATATATTTTATTATTTTTCATAAAACTTTATAATGCTATTTCATATTGATATTTTGTTCTTGAACTTTTACGAATTTAACAATTTATTTATCGTTTTTCACATCACTCGATGAGAAGTTCTTGTTGAGAACTTTAATGAAACAATATGAAAAGAAAAAACATAAGTATTATGACTAGTATCATTTGTCTTATGAGTCTGAGAATGTATCATGGCAACAATTAAATTCAATTTTTAAACAAATTCACCGTAATTTAAAAAACTGAATGATTTATTAACGGATTTATGGCTGAATGCGTATACTTCATATGCTTGTAAATCAGTTTGTTTTTATAAATTGGATATTTCCCAAGTATCGTTGTATTATAATGTAACTAAAGTCTTAATGTATAATTTTGTTCCTAGATTATAATCGTTTTTGCAATTTTCGTGGTGATTACAATGATAC